TTATATTTGGCTGGAAACACACAAGTGGCTATCGTTAGAAAACTCCAGTTCTGTATTAAAGCCTTGGGGACGCCATCGCACTCAGCACGCGCCACAAAAGACTGGTTATAAAATGAGTTTCTTCTCTTCATTTCCAGCGCACAATGGTCACCAAAATATCCGTATACCAATCCGTTGGACTATTGTGTCTGGAATATTTTGGAAAGCAAGGTTGTCACTAAAAAATACCAAAGTGTCGATCACCTCAAGCATGCCCTTCGGAGGGAATGGGCCAAAATACCGCAGAACAACGGTTTCATTGGCCGTTTGAAGGCTATAATTCATACCAAAGGTGACCAATTCGAACAAACCTAAACTTATTCTAAAATTTTATGCTATTTCCGACATTTTTTGCTTTCATACAATAAAATTTAAAAAAAAGATATAAAAACTATGGAGTTTGACTTTGTTGCGGTTTTTTATCTCACCCTGTATGTATATCAACGATGTACGATCATAAACACTGTAGATTTACAGGGTATAATTTTCTACAACACTTGGAAATCAATATTAGTTTCCCATATATTTGGGAAAGTATTTAAGGAAAGGACAAACTAGGATTCTGGAATTTGAGAACAGTACAAAATTGAATAAAAAATAGAAATCTTCAAAAATTGTAGATTAATATTGGAAAGGGAGGTAAAAAAGCCATAATTTAAACAGATCTTGTATCGAATTAAGATATAAAATTTACAAAATATCGTGAGCAAGTAGAAAATGAAATTGAGGACATATTAAAATATCAATTTTAGCCAGAATCACAAAATCATACACATATTTAAATGGCTAAAAAATGATGTATATATATGTCTATAGTCACATCATAAATAACAAACACAAAATTCCACATTTTTTAATAATTTTCAGATAAAATATTGTAAATACTCTTCATGAGTCGTGGACTCACTCAAAATAGTGCTTCCGCTAAATATACAAATATACATGTTTCTCTCTCCCCCTTTGCCATTTGGCATGAAAAACAAACCATAGAAAAATCTCACTCATTTCTCCAAAATAGCTCGATATAGAATTTGGTGGTCGAGCTTTTGCTGTCCATCAACACGGTTAGTTGTGTATCAACAACAAATCCGCAAAGTAAACCCACCAACAAACAAAGCAGCTACGCGGCTAAATATTTCAAAACAAAAATTATTAAAAACTTAAATACAGTTCAGTAATATTTGGAACTGAAATTAGAACGGAAGGTCGTTGAAAGAAAATAAAACAAATTCATGTGAGTGTACTGAGAATATAAAACAAAAGAAAATATAAAAATAAAAACGAATAAAAGGCAGCATTCAAGAATTAAAATGAATTAAAATAAAAAAATTTAGTTGAGAATCCTGACCTAAATTAACAATTTTTTCTTGAGCTTTAATATGTGGAATTTTTGAAAATTCCGCGTCTATTTTAAGATTTGTGTAAGGGTATTTTCTATTTATTTTAATTTGTTAGTAGGCATTACTACATAAAATTGTGTAATTGTAATTAAAGAAATATAATTCAATAAATTGAACCCCTCCATCTTCTGGGTAATACCTTATTAGGAAATAAGTTTCTGAATCGAATATGTTCCATTATTATTTACAGATCAATAAAGGGCGGGAAGATGAATTGTGAAGTAGGTACTTGTATTCATATCACATCTTTTGTTTGTTTTTGTGGGACATCTGTGGCGCCCAGATCAGAACATCCGTCCTGGCATCAGCACTTGTGCTTTTCAATTTCATTACAACAAAAATAAGAGGGTGGGAAGTCTTCATGGTGAAAGAGTGTCTGTGCCTGTATACCACCAAATGCATGCAGCCACCATGATTGTCGCGATGATGATGATGTTTTGCTTTTATTTACGCATCTGCAAAAATCATTTGTGAATGATGATGAGGATGGGTAACTAAGGGTAAACGTTTTACTTGTGGGATATCATGCGCAATTTTTATGTACACTCATTTCTCCTCCCTTGGGTGCATTTTATGCTATGATGTCATGAACACCCCCAACCTCTTCAAAAGAATTTCTAGGCACCTGCCAGATTCAGAGCTCGCCGTTGTTACCACTGTCGAATTTATTGGAAGTGAAAGTATTTGCTATGCAGAAATTTGAGAGGCTTAGACGGATTTATTTTTTTTCTTCCAAGTGACATTTACAAAAACGAACAGATTTTTAAAGTAAAAGACAAAAAAAAACACTGAGATATTTTAAAGATTAAATTTCCATGTAATTTAAAACTTAGTAGCCCACATTGTCCCTTCAAGAAAACTCCCATGTTGTTGTAAAAATTGTTGTTTTAAATTTTAAGAAAAATGTCCGAATTATTGCAATCGATATTGGGGAGATAAGAATAGATAATATAGTTATCAATAGAACATTATCAATTAGAAATCAATAAACGCTTGAAAAGTATCTTCAAATATGTGTTGGAATATATTCGAGTCATAAAATATTATAATTTAAACTAAAATCCTATTTTTATGACGCATTTAGGATTGCAAATTATTATTTTTATAGAATTATTTAGCAAAAAAGTAAAGCGCAGCAGATTGCCATGAAATCCGCTTTAAAAAACTCATAAGAAAATGTATTACTGACTGTTTTCCTTAAAAGATAATGGTATAATAATCCGATTTGTAATGAGTATTTTTGTTAGGTTCGGTAGAAGAGTATTTAAGTAAAAATATTTTCAATTTGCACATTATAATCGTAAAAGTAACAGGTTTATACATTTTCGGAACCACAGGCTGTGTTTTAATGTTTGCAAATCTTTAAAAACTAAAAAGGAGAACATGATCTATAAAATGTGCTTTCATATCTCAGGTTCGAGAAGACAACCATTAACAAAAGTGTTCAAAATAAAAAAGGTTAAGAATTAATTGGAACCATTTTTCATTAATCTTCATTTTGTAGTTCCAAAAATAAGATCATTAATAATATAATAATATGACATAATAAAACAATTTTTCATTTTTTTTGGTTTGGAAAGAGAACAGCAATTAAAAATTAATTAAAAAAATTCTTTAAGCTGATTACCAACATGTCTAAAAACATTTGCTGGACTTATTGTCCAAATGGCAAAACATTTATTGTCCAAATTACAAAACAGAATCAGCTGTGAATTTTACCGATCCAGCTATCATAACTAATTGTCTGAAATCAGCAAATTCCTATAAGCCTTACAAATAACTCGTTTGTATCGAAGAATGAATAGAATAAGCGAAAGAATTGGCTCCATGTTAAATTTAATGTTAATTTTAAACTCTTTTTCCCAATCGAGTACTTTGATATGATTATTATTAACTCCCGTAATTTAAAGGAAGCCTGCATTTAATATATCCTGAAAAACAACATCCTCGGAAATGTCTGCAATTCATACATTATGTTTTATCATTTAATAGTTCTCTTCTCCTAAACCTCACCAAACCATTCGAGTGATGCCATACAATTGTATGTATATATGTGTATGTGTACATGCCATGACATAATACCTATTTGATTCAATGTTATTGCTCTTAACATTTAAACTAGCGTTGCTAGTAGGCTATTGTTGATGTCAACAAGGGCAAAAAACAGTTTTGTTGAATATAAATGTAAATGTTTGTATGATTTTTCAAATAGAATGAGGAATACGATTTAAATTACAAAACATTCCAACATTTGGTGCACTTCAAAGAAACACTTGCCGTTTCAACTTTTCACCAAATGGTATTCAAAACTTGACCAAGTAAATTTCAGGTAATTCCAAAAACCATGTTTAATGATTTTATAACTTTTCTATAGGTTATACGATTGTATCATTATTTGGCAACATTTTTTAATTGAATTAACCTTGACCCAACCCGGAACAACAAATGAGGGATTACAAAAAAGAAAAAATAATAGCATTCGTTTCCAATTCAGATAAAAATATTTAAATAATTGTTGACATATTTGTACTATAAACATTAGTAGGCACTTGTACACGTATATGTACATGTAATTATTTCCATAAAAATGCTCACACAAAAATATGGCAGAGCACCAACAGTTTGAAACAACATAAAGGGAAATACGAAAAATATTTGGTTTTAATTAAAATCATTTTCTAGAGTATTTATCAACAATCATATGGTCTTGTGAAAAAGTTGTTCCACATATACATATATATGTGAAATGGTACATTTTTTTCAAAAAACACATATAGGGCTACTACACAGAAGTTCGGCTTCGCCATGGGGTACCATTTTATTGGTTATCCTCTACTAATATGCAAACATAAAACGTCGCCAAAATTTATAAGACATTTAACAATAATGTAAAACCTCTCTTGAAATAATAAACATACACTCTTTATCGTGAAAACACTTTTGAACATTTAAAAAGCTATTTATTACTCATGTGCTAATTAAAAGCTGAAAATATTTTTTGTTTAAGTTTGTTTCTCATTTTGATTGATTGCAAAACAATAGCCAAATTTTTGCATTATTTAGAAACCCAAACATCCCCCTATCCCGAAACCCACCTGATAAGATTTTTTTTGTTTTGTGGCCAAACGAACGAAGATCTTTACGGTTGGAATAATACACAAAATAAAAAACAACAAAAACAAAATCTATTATCACTCTGGTGAGATATGAACGACGATATTTAGACAAGTCGTCGTGTATGTAGATTTGATTTCAGTTCTGTTTTGTCCATGATATCATCACCTTAAAACATTCCGGCAACAAAAGTGTTTAAATGCCAATGTGCATTTCTTTCGGTAAATTAAGAAAGTGAAATGTTGGTTTCAACCAAAAATTTCTTCGAATAAATTGGCAATAAATTAGGAATAGATTGCCCAAGTGAATTGAGTTGATAACAACGCTATCTGATTGTATGCAATCTAGTTTTGACTCAAAAAAACGGTACGATAACAATCAAATGCTCAAAACTGAAATACGTGTTGTTCCTGTACTTGTATGAATTGAAAGACGGCACCGATAACACAAAAAAAAACTGATGAAGTTTACATCACGTTTGTTGTTTACAGTTGTAAATCTATTATTGTGTTCGATCATGTTAAATGAAGAATCAAAAAAAGAATTAATTCAATGAAGTACTTAAAGAATATTCATTGGATAATTTATTCTATTTTCATGCATTACAATGTTTGTGAAAAATGACATTTAACGAATTCCAGAAATCTGAAGAAAGTAATTGATTTTGCCAATGCCTAACAACAATGTGCAATAAAAATGCTATACTTAAGATCTGAAGGAAGGACTCCAAAAGCTTGACTTCAACTTGAAATTAAAAAAAATTACTAATATTTTCGAGTGTTTGTTCACTGTTGGTTTTAAATTTCGACAGCAGATCGAATAAGACGATAGGCATATAATTACTATCAAACAGATCACCAAAGGTGAATTAATTTATGCAAACATACATTTTGATAAACCACATTGATTCGACTTTATTTTAAATTCTGACAACGAAATTATCGCTTAAGCAACAATGCATAGTATGTCCGCAAGGGTAGCTGCCTACCACCATAGGTGAGTTGATGTCAAACCAAAACCTAAACAATTCTTACAAAATATATAGGTTCATATTTCTACTACTTAGTGATATTCCAACATCTGTTTGAATAAATAATTCGCAAAGCACTAAATGCCAAGATGTTGAAATCAAAACGGTTAGTTTTCCATTTCAATAAATTTATCTTAAAGTCATAATTACACACCTTTAAGGCGGTTAATGTTAAATTGATTTAAAAACATAGTTATTTATCTAATCTATTATGAAAAAAAGCTATTAACCTTTTACCAAAACTATGAAATAAATTGTTTATTCTAATATTTAGAAACAACATGTCCGAAGAAGCTGCCAACGGTACATCAACCCCATCACCAGCACCACCTACCACAGAGATGGCGGAAATGGCTCTGGAAGAACCCAAGGTCTCATTTCAAGATCAATTCAAAGCCTTCTCAAAATTTGGTGACACTAAATCGGATGGGAAATTGATAACCCTTTCCCAAAGCGACAAATGGATGAAGCAGGCCAAAGTCATAGACAAGAAAATCACTACAACCGACACTGGAATTCACTTCAAGAAATTCAAGGCAATGAAAATCTCATACGGCGACTACAATAAATTCTTGGAGGATTTAGCGAAAACCAAAAAGGTAGAATTACAAGAAATCAAAAACAAAATGGCTTCATGTGGTGCCCCTGGAGTTATACAAGTTTCGGTAATTACAAATGTTGGCTATTGAATGGTATAAATCATAATGTTCCATACTCTATATAATTTACAGGCTGGTAAGGCTGCCTCTGCTGTAGAACGCTTGACAGATACAAGCAAATACACCGGCTCTCACAAAGAGCGTTTCGATGCCAGTGGCAAAGGCAAAGGTATTGCCGGACGTAAAAATATTGTCGATGATTCCGGCTATGTAACAGGCTATCAAAACAAGGACACCTATCCTGAAGGTCAACAATAAGTTGTTGTCGTTGGCAGAAAAGTCTAGAAAACCTTCTTCAAATAGCGAACCAATATTTATAAGTCGAATAACGTTTAAGTAAACCAATTTAACATAAAATTGCATTTGCTATTATTATAAGCTATGTGCGTAGGCATACAAGTTACATAACATTTTCCAGTGTACAGCCATGAATGTGGTAAGATCTTATATAGTTTTTTAAGCTTATGTCCCCACAATAATTTAAATAAATTGTGATAACTGAAATGTAAGGTTTTTTATTTTGCTTATTTTTTTATTCCAAAATCAATTTTTTCCCACACACAAAATAGAAAACCTAAATAAATAAAACCTATGATTCAAATAAAACCAAATATATCTAAAAATTGAGTGTTTCAAACTGATGCTGAATTTTGAAGAATGAATGCAAAATGTTGTCACGCCACAAGCAAAACACATTATAAAAGTCTCCATAATGGCCGTTATCCACAGTCATTTTCTAAGTAATTTTGCATACAAAATCTATTTAGAAACAAAATCTAGCCAATTATGAAATATGTAAACTAATGCTGCTCATAAACTGTGCGCATGCAGGACAGTTTGTACGTTTCTGTCACTTCTGTGTGGAATCAATTAAAAAGAAAGAAAATACCAAACAGCATTACACAAATTTCACATCTCAATGTTTTACATGTAAATTTTGATCAAAAAAGAAATATTTTGTATCCAAAAGTTGGCAACAAGCACTGGACTAACCGTGTCACCTTGTAAATACACCATGATAAACCCCTTTCAATCCAATGGATAAATATTGTCAATATAAACATATTTGAAAAAGGATAACAACTTCTGTTAGTAAAATCAACATTATGAATTTATTTCTGGAATCAAATCTTTAACTATTTATTTTTTGAATAATGGATGAATGGATTTATGAAAATGACTCTTAAATATACAAGAGTCCATTGGCAATTGCAGTTTGGTGTATGGTGATCGGGCCAACGATCGATTGAGGTTCGGTTCGTTGCGGATTGTAGACATATTAGCTAATTATGCCATTGTGCTTCGTTAATGTAACTTTAATAATATTAAAAATTATGAAATAATTATAATTTATAATAATAAAATTATGATGTTGATGATGTTTTTAGTCTCTGCATTGCCACTTTTTATATTCCGCGAAACACTTCTATTATACCCTATTGTTGTAATGCAAAAACTCATTATTTTAGAATTATCGTTTGTTTATCCAACGTAACTATTTCCATTATGTAGTCATACTAACGTCATTGCGAAAACTTTAAACACTTGATTGATTTTCCAATCACAATGAGATCATTACCAAACAGTGAAATCAATATCCTACACTAATAATTACTAAAACAGAACTCATCTACTAACAACTAGTACAGAATATAACAAAAGCATGGATATAGATAAAAAATTGAGTAACAGAGAATTACATGTAGTATTTATGCAAAACCAATCTTCACAGATCGGATTACAGAATCTGAATAATATAAAAAGGCTGCGCGGTGGTCCGACGTGACCACAATCGCAGTGGAACTTGAAGTGGATTAATATAACGTATCTAGCACCAAGAGGCAGCGACTAGAAAACAATAATCAAGAAGATTTCGAAAAAAATGTCATTCAAAGGAAAAAATGCAGTAGTTACAGGAGGAGCAAGTGGAATAGGACTTCAAGTTGTAAAACAGCTACTGCAACATGGAGCAGGGGTACGATTCTAAAACAACATACAACACACAAAACAAATTAAATGTTTATTATTTCACACAGAAAGTGGCAGTCTTAGACATTCAGGATAATTTGGAGGAGATTGTTAGTATGCGGTTGGGCTTCCCATCGCAAAGCATAATTGTCATTAAAATGGATGTGGCCAATCAAAAAGGAATGGAGGCCACATATGAAGAGATTGCAAAAACCTTTGGTCATTTAGACATCGTTGTCAACGTGGCTGGCCTCTTCAATGATCAAGATGTCCAGCGTACAATATTAGTGAATTTGGGAGGAATGATTAATTCGACATTGAACGCATTGAAAATAATGAGCAAAGACCAAGGTGGTAAGGGTGGAATAATTTGCAATATGTCATCTGTTGTAGGCTTGGATCCGATGTTCCTTGTCCCAGTGTATGCTGCCACCAAAGCCGGTATTATAAATTTCACACGTTGTTTAGGAGTAAGAATACATCCAATTACCACAAATATCTTTATTATTATTTTATTATTTCCCCAACAGAAAGACATATTTTTTCAACGAACCGGGGTCAGGATGATAACTGTTTGCCCGGGCGCCACAATCACAGATATGTTTACCAACTTTACTGAGAAGATTTTATTTCCAGAATTGGGCGACGAATCTTATCGCGTTTTGGATCGCTTACATAAGCAAAGTGCTGCGGACGTATCCCGCTGCATACTCACTGCCTTGGAGAAAGAGGAAAACGGTGCCGTTTACATTATTGAAGGTAAACGGCTATTCCCAATGGAAATGAAAAAATATTGGAGAGGTCTAGAAAAAGAACTAAACGAGTAATACCTAGCAATTCAAGTGTTGTAAACATTATTAAAAATGTGTGTGTAACTCCTCTACAGTAATTAATAAAAGACAGTACATACCTTTTAAATATTGTATATAACTTATTGCAAAAGCTTAAATTTGATTAGCTTCCAATTTATCGTCCTTTTATTGTATTTAAATGATTGAAAATGTATTAAGTTATCAACAACAGCAATGTGATATTCGCCCTAATCATCACGCCAGGTTACTAGCACTTCATCAGTACGGTATCTTTGTGTTACAAAGGAGTCTTCGAAGTCCATACGTGTACCCGACTTAAACATCTCTGCCCCAGCATGAGCAATCATCAGACCGTTGTCAATGCAATAACGTTCGTCGGTGGCAAATAATTTGCCACCTCGTTCTTCACACATAATACGCATCATTTCTTGAAGACGTTCATTGCAGCCAACTCCGCCGACAATAAGAACCTAAAAAATCATTTTTTTTTAATTACTTACAAATATGGTTGGTATTTCCTAAACTAAAAAAAAGAATTTTTGTTCCTTCAGTTACCTCATTTGATTCGCAGTGTGCCATAGCTCTTTCTGTTATCTCCACCAACATGGCGAATATCGTTTCTTGTAAAGAGTAGCACAGATCAGCTTTTGTATACTCCGGCTCTTCAGCATCTTCAGCTTTCTTTCTTTTGTTGCGCCTCTTGCTAGGATCTGCTATTTCTTCTATGTGCGACAATAAGCCCGAAAAGCTAACATCCATTCCTACAACAGTATTGATCTTATCGTTATTGTCAATAATAGACATTGGCATGCATTTTCCACCTACCCTTTACTACATACGGTAACTTTACAAATTGTTTTCCCTCTTTGGCCAATTGTTCTATATTGTAGCCCGGACTTGGATCATTGGACAACTTAATTATTCGGGCAAATCTATCCAAACAGTTACCAACGGCAATGTCAATTGTCTCACCAAAGATGCGATAGCGTTTGTTTGAATAAGCAATCACTTGGGTATTACCGCCACTTACATATAATACTATTGGGTTTTTGGCATTCGTTATTTGACGGCCCATTTCAATGTGTCCTATGCAGTGATTCACACCCAACAATGGTTTTTCCCACAGCAGTGACAATGTACGGGCCACTATGGCGCCCACCATTAATGGTGGTGCCATTCCCGGCCCTTTAGTATAGCAAATCACATCGAGCTCATGTGAGTCAATTTTTGCTTCCTTGAGAGCGGCCTTTACTAAACCAATGATTTGATCACGATGGTGCTTGGCTGTTTCTTTTGGCAGAAAACCTAACACAAGATATTTTAGTTATGCGATGTTATTGAGCGCCAAAGGATTAATTACCTTCTCCTGGTGGTGTAATGTACGTCTTGCGGACATTTGCCAATACCTCACCATCTCTTATGATTCCAATTCCTATTTTGTTAGCACTGCCTTCAATTCCCAGAGAGCATACCATCTTCAGGCCTTTGTTAGAGGTGGCAAATAATCGATGTCAATGTCGATAGTATCAACACTTTATTTTTCAGTCGATTTATATATTTTTATTCTATTGTCTTGTCAAATTAAACTGCATAGGAAAAAGGTTCCCATCTCTGATTTGAGAATGGGTGTTCTGTTCCAGAACCTGCAAGAATCTACTGGTCGTGGCCTATCTATAAGGTCATCCAATATTTTCGGCTGATTTTTTCAAAATCTTAAAGGAAAAATCCAAATTTGCAATTTTTTTTTAATTGAAGAAGAAAATTGGGATCAGAATACTAAAACTAGGTAATGCTAAAATCACATGTCACATGATTCGCTCTCTATTCCTTGTTCGACCATTAATTATGAAATATCTAATTAATTCCCCACATAAAATTTGCTGAGTGAACAACGATTTTTGTTCTTTGTTCCATTAAAATCACTCTCAGAACTAAGATGAAATATGAGCCATTCCTAACAAATGAGAGCATTTATCGAAAAAATAAATTATGACAAAATGACAAAAAGTTCAGTCGTCTCTCAACTCTCGTTGACTTTAGACTACGTGCGCGCCGTTTCGCTTTCTTTTTTATGCGTTTTGTTTGTTTTGCTTTGAACACCAATACACACACAAATACACACATTCCTTCCATCTAACCAATAACACAAACATTATTTTATTTGGTGATTTTGCTGAAATTTAATATTCCTAATTTCAACAAAATATACAATTTTCTGCGAAAATGGGTGATGAGGAGCCGCCTCCTCGTTTAGACCCGAGGAAAAGAATTGAGCTTTTTAGCAACCCTGGAAGCAAGAAGTTTAAAAATAATCAGCCTTCTATGCAAAATAAAATGCCGCAGTGCTCTGCAAAAACAACACCAGCAAAAGAAAACACCACTCTCACACCATATGAAAATCAATATTTTAATGATACAAAGTCCATCTCCACCAACACAACTAACAACTGTCACTCCAACAATAACAATCCCTCCAATCCATCCAATATACCCAAAAACACAAACAAAACAGATATTTACAGCTATGATAACTATGAAAACCAAACAATTCTTTACAGCCCAGCCCATCCAGGTCCATATTATGTACTTCTTACTTCTGATGAGCCCATTTGCCCTAGAAGAAAGAACTCAGAATTACATTTGTATGCCAAATTAGCCAGTGCCAACATAAATGCTCATTTTGTATCAAAGAATATTGCATATAAAACCTTCCGCCTGAGCTTCAACAATTATAACTCGGCAAATAATTTTGTTTTGGATCCAAATGTAAAATCTATTGGTTTGAATGCTTTTATCCCAGATAGATTTGTACAAAAATTTTATGTTATTAAATCCGTACCAGTAGAATTCACTGGCAAAATGATATATGATCAAATCAACAGCAGCGACAATGATTTCAAAGCTGTATCAGTATATCGTTTCAAATACAAAAATGAAAATGGTCAGTATGTGCCGTCGCAAACCATTAAAGTAGGTATTGTAGCGGACTACGTTGTAAAAGAACTTAAAATGTTCAACTCTATAGTGGAGACGGATTTATATATTCCACTTGTACGCTTATGTAAAAATTGCGGTCGTTTAGGTCATATAGCCGTAAAATGTAGAGCCAAAAAAAGATGCCTTCTTTGCGGGATAAACATTGAATGTCCCACAAACTGCACAGAGCCAAAATGTGATACATGTTTGTCGACAATTAAATGCAAAACATACTGTATTCTACCCAGATGTATACTATGCAACATGGAAGATCACAATGCCATGGATGTCAAAAAATGCAAAAGATACAGCAATGAAAAAAATATTCTGGAGGCTATGGCAATCACCAACCTTTCAAGGAAAGAATGTATCCCTAAAGTTTCAAACAATTACTTTGAAATTTTAGATGAACCAAATTATGAAAATCAATTTCCCCAAATTTCTAAAACAAGCAGAAGACCAGTTACTTCCTTCAATGATGAACTCAACAGAAGGAGAACTAAAGTCAATTACAATAAAGTAGCAGCATCAATACCTCGTAGAACACATATTACAGCTGAACAGGAAACGATTGTACCCTCTAAACCATCCTTTGAATTCTCAAATTTTTTCAAAGTTTCTGAGTATGAAAAAATATTATCCACTTTCACTCAACAAATGGCTGCCGCATTAACCAATGCCAAGTGTACAGAAGGATTACAGATCTTAGACAGTTTTTCAAATGCCTTAAAAGCACCAGCAATAGATGGACCTTCCAGTTCTAACCAAACCGAACATGATAATCTTACAGCACAACATACAAAGTTTGAATAAAAATAAAAATTATTTAGAACTTTACTTAAACAAATTTTCTGTCGATATATGCATCTTAAGCGAAATTTTTAATGTAGATGAAAATGCATCATCATCTTACGTAAACAATTATGGATTATTCTGTAAAAAAAGAATCGACAATTATGGTGGCGTTGCCATCCTGCACAAAAAAACTATTAAAATGAAAAAATTACCTTTTGCATCGGATTTAGACATCTTAATATGTCAAACTACAAACCTGTCTCAAAATTTAACGATTGTCTCAGTATACTTTCCGCATTCTGTAAAATCCAATGTTTTAAAAACTGAAGTATCAAAACTTTTAATCTTTCTAAATGGAAAATCAAATGTCATTATTGGCGGGGATTTTAATGCAAGATGTAAAGCATATGGTGACGTTTTTGACACAGTTCGAGGATCCACTGTGCAAACCTTGATGGACAGTTCGGCATTTCGTTGTGTTAATGATGGCTCAGCAACCTTTAAAAAGAATCTATTTGACAGTTCTTTCGGTTCTGTGTTAGATCTTACCTTCACAAATATGTCTTCAAACTTTAATTGGAATGTAAAAAATACAAGCATAGGAGGAAGCCACCACAGACCAATCCTTATTAACATAGATAATTTCACATCAAAGCAACAGTACTTCCTAGCAAAAAAACATCTCTTCAAAAACTTATCAAATCTAAAAATTGATTCCAATATGAATGATATTCAATCGAAGCTAAAATCAACAATAAAAAATTCAACTTTTCTCATTACTGCTGAAACAAAATTTCAAACATGGTGGAATAATGACATTACCATACTCTTACGTCAAAAAGAGGCCGCAGAACAGAAATTTGATAGATACAAAACCACTGAAAATGCCCTGAGTGCAATCAACGCTATATCTAAATTCAAAAAAGCCGTAAAATGTGCCAAAAATCGCGACAAACGTCGTAAACTGTCAGATTTAAGCCAATTATCTAATTCAAAATCGCTTTTCCGTTATGTAAAGAGCTGTAAATCGGTTTTCGAACCCCAATCTGCTTCTAAATGGAACACTGACAACAACGAAGCCTTCTTACGTCATTTGAGTGAACAGGTTCCCAACAACAGACAAACTATATCCATTTCAATTTATAACAATCAATCTGCAAATTTCTCCATGGAAGAACTAGACAATGTTCTACAGCAAAAAACTAAACCATCTGCAGCTGGTCTGGATGGAATCACTTATGAAATGGTTAATAAACTATCCCAAGATAGTAAGCAGCACCTTTTGAATTCCTTTAATAATCAATGGAAAAACTGTGAGTTTTTTGAAGAATGGAGGAGAATAAAAATTGTTCCCATACCGAAAAAAGGAAAAAATTTAGACATCTGCACAAATTTTCGGCCAATTGCTTTAATATCTGTACTGGCAAAGATTTTAAACCTCATGGTCAAACAAAGGCTCAATGATTTTCTAGATGAACATAAAACTCTTCCACCTAGATCTTATGCATACCGCAAACATGTGTCAACTTCAACATGCATTAATGACATACTACACACAATAAACACCTCCAAAGAAAAAAATGACAAGGTGATTGTTCTCTCGATGGATGTATCGAAAGCCTATGAGTGTGTCGATATAAATTACCTGAAGAGGATTTTAATAGAAATAAACATTCCACTCCAAATAAGATTATGGATAATCAATTTTCTCTGCAAAAGGACTCTTTGTATGGGAAACTCCACCCTAAATATATACAATGGGATCCCTCAAGGCAGTTGTTTAAGCCCAACACTATTCAACCTATACACAATAGGCCTCCATGGTTTAGCTGATGAAAACACAAACATTTTCCAATATGCGGATGATTTTATTTTGCTTGTGGCAAGCCATGACTTTGATAGTGCCAACAATATTTTACAAATCAAAACCAATAACATGGTATCCTTATTAAAAAAACTAAACCTTGACGTCAATGTTGAGAAAACTTCAGTAATGTACGTGGCTAAAGGAGGTCGGAGAAATCCCAACATTTTACTAAATGGAGTCCAAGTAAATGTTGTTAAGTCCATCAAATTTTTAGGGAGACATATTAAAAACAGTCTATCACTCAAGGAGCACTACGAAGAGGTGATGATATCCTGCAGAAATACTGTTAATGCTTTAAAAATGGTCACGGGTCCAAAAAGTGGAATTCATCCCGCAAAAGCTATAAACCTGTCAAAATCACTTATCTTTTCAAAGACCGAATATGCAATCTCATCGATGGCTCACAGACCAATGTATATAAACAAGAAGCTAACAAGCTTTCAAAATCAGTTGTTAAGAAAAAATTTGGGACTGGTGCCTTCCACTCCAAATCATGTGGTATACGCTCTTGCTGGTATGCTACCAACAGATTTAAGAGCTCAACACTTGGCGGCTAAAGAATTGATAAGACTTAAAATATACAACTCTTCTCTGTATGAATACTTCACCTCAAATACCTCAAGAAAAACTAGTCTTGGATATGTCTATACAAAGTTTCGCACAATTTTTGAAAATCTCAAAATTGGTTACAATCAACATCCGACCAACAAGGTAGATTTCATGCTGGATATATTTAATACTACCAAAAACAATACACCAACAGAATATTTCAAAGCACACTACTACGAATTAATTAACGACTTCAGATCCGAAGGCGTTTCTATTTGGGCGACGGATGCTGCTGTTTTTAACAACAACACAGGCTGCGCTGTCTGCAATATATCTGCTAATCAAAATTTTGTTTTCAAAATTAATGAAAAACTTTCTTCTCTTACTGGTGAACTATGTGCAATTGAAAAGGCAATTGATTTGATGATCGAAGACGGTGTCAGCACAGCTGCTTTATTTACAGACAGCAAAAATGCTTGTCTTCTGCTTAAAAACAACACATCTCACAATTTCACTGTGTACAATATTCTAAACAAAATAGTTAATTCGCATTTAATTAAAATCTCGTTTGTTTGGACACCTTCCCATGTCGGTATACCAATCAATGAAACAGCCGATTATTTTGCGAAGCATGCAGCAAATGTTGGTTCACCAATCAACTTCTGTCTGTCGGTCACAGATGCGTCGAAACGCATTGAGTCACTCCTGTGGAATGAGTTTATAGAAAATTACAAGGACATCTCACGGACTAAAGGAACTTACTTCTACCAATTCTTCCCGGCGCCTGCTAAACAGCCCTGGTTCTTTTCATCAAACATGAAACCTGAAAACATAAAGATTGTTAATCGATTGCTCACTGGTCATACTTACACCAAAAAATATTTCCACAGGATTGGAATTGCTGACTCAAATCTTTGTGAAACCTGCAACGAAATTGAAGATGAAAAACACATAATTTTTTTCTGCAAAAAGCATCAAAATCATAGGAATGATTTTGATTTGTTCAAGAAATTTAATAACTTACCGGAAATCCTGATGTCCAAAAACCAACAAAATATAGATGAATTAATCAACTTTATTGCACTTTGCAAAATTGAAGTTTGACTTTTATTTGTAAATAATCATCATATTTGCTGACAGTTCTTTATTTTTTCCTTTAGTTTTGATTTTTTTTTTGTTTTGATTTCTTATGTATTTCATTCATATCACTACATTCTGTAAACACACATATACTGTAAACAAAAAGAAAACGAAAATAAAAGAGTACTGATACTTTTCAAGTAACCAATAACCGGTCATGGTGAATGGGCACGAAAGTGTTCTAACCACCAACATACTTGACGACGTAGAAGTACAAAAAAAAAAAAAAAAAAAAAAAAAAAATGACAAAAAGTTGAAAACATAAATGAAAATTGTCAAATTAATGATATAATAAAAAATAAATCTTTGGGAGAAAAACAATAATTTCTTCTATTCATATTAGTGAGAATTTCATTTTTCTCGTATAAATTGCCATTAAAATCAAGAAACAAAATTTTTGAAAAAAAGGAATTATTTTACTATGAATTACGAATTGTGCCGTATGAACGGGTTAATTCGTGTACCTAATTCTGAGAGCGTACAACTTGATTGAAAGTACAATGAAAACATAGCATAAGCAACTACCGATTCCAAAAAAAAACAGTACTCAAAGTCGATTATTCAATTAATCGGAAATTGACTTACGTCTCCCCAGTTCATATTTGTGCTCTGTCATTCTATTCTTCTATTGGAAGAGAAAAACAATTCTTTTTATTATTAATTATTTATTACGATATCTAAAAAAACAAAATAGTTAACCAAAATGAGCGTACGTGTGATTAACGATGATGCACACTTCCATTCTGAGTTAGCAGCTGCCGGTATAAAACTAATTGTTGTTGACTTTACTGCAAGCTGGTAAGGACAGGATCACTTTGTAGTATATTGTTCCTGTCGACCTATAAATAATAATAAGTTAGTTTTCAAGCAATTTATCTGTTATATTGACCCTCTCGTAGGTGCGGTCCTTGCCAACGTATTGCTCCACAATTTGAAATGCTGCCCAATAAGTATCCAAAAGCAATTTTCTTAAAAGTCGATGTTGACAAATGCCCAGAAACTGCGGCGAGCCAGGGTGTAAGTGCAATGCCCACATTCATATTTTATAGAAATAGGGTAAGTATGGCAAATAAAAAAACTTGAAGTAGGTTTAACCTGTGCATTTTTAGACAAAAATCGATAGAATTCAGGGAGCAGACATAAATGCATTGGAACAAAAGATTCAAGAGCATATTGGATCAGGTGGAGATGAAACCGGCGAGGACTATGGACAAGGTTTGGTAAGTATGTCCTTAGCTAGGTTTTTTTAATATTGCTAAGCTGCTTTTCTTTCAGATGGAAATTAACACATTCATTTCAAAACAAGAATGTGAATGTCTAAATGAGTCTGATGATCATCCTATGAACCATTGTCTGGTCGCAAATGGTGGTTATCTGCAATCTGATTGTGACGAACAATTAATCTTATCTGTAACATTCAACCAATTGGTGAAAATTCATTCCCTGAAATTCAAAGCACCACCTCAGCTAGGCCCCAAGGAAATTAAAATTTTTATCAATCAACCGCGTACAATAGATTTTGATCAAGCGGAATCAATGACCAGTGTCCAGGACCTAACGTAAGTTTATTTAGTGGAACATGGAACTGGTGATGATGTACTACATTTTGAATTATTTCCAGTTTGGATCCCAAAGACTTGGAAAAGGGCACACCCGTCAATCTACGTTTCGTAAAGTTCCAAAATGTACAAAATATCCAAATCTTTGTTAAGAATAATCAGTCAGGAGGCGAAGTTACTCAGTTGGATTACCTGGGATTCATAGGCTCCCCTATTTTGACTACTAAAATGAATGATTTCAAGCGTGTGACTGGCAAAAAGGGAGAAAGTCATTAAAGGATGCATATTAATTTATTAGCATTTTCTTACTTAAAAACAAAAGCATATTAGCAATAGAGGAATACAAAACTATGTAATAAAAATTCACCAAACCTTTGTCTTTTATTCAATCCCGTTGCTATATTGATGTTGAACATTTAAATGCTTAATAAATTTCTACAATTGCTACATTTTATCACGATTTAACAGAATTGATCTATATAAAATATATTGCCGGAAAATCTGGGTAGAAATCCTATAAGTTGCTACTCGTTGTAATATGTACTAAGTCATCCATTAGTATTTTCCATGCTTTTTCGGCTTGCTTTAAAGTGAAATCAGAATCCCACTGCGAACTAAAGACTACGTGGGATCTGGATACCATTTCACTATTTGACGGTTGGCTGGCAATTCTACGCCTTGCTTCCTCTTCTGAAAGACCATTTCGTTCAACGATACGACGCACTGCCTCTTCTGGAGGGATAATCATAGACCAGACTTCATGTACCTCCTTATCCCAACCAGCTTTAAGTAAAACAGCAGCCTCTAATACCAACACTTTCGGACAGTTAGGACCCTTTCTTAACTCATTTATTCTACGATTGACTTCAACCATCAGTTCCGGCCACACAATGTTATTTAATTTTTCTAGCTTATTTGCGTCTGCAAAAACAATTGGGCCCAATTTGGCACGATTTATACGCCTGTCATCGTTCAAAATGTCTGTCCCGAATTCCTCAATAATTTTGTTATAACACACTTGATCCGGTTCATAAATTTCATGAGCAATTTTGTCACAGTCCATTACCAGTGCGCCCATACCTTGTAGTCGCTGAGCCATTTTACTTTTTCCTGAAGCAATACCACCAGTCAGGCCTATTATATGGGGCAATGGAGGGAGAGTTTTTGGCTAGGGGGTAAATGATTAAAATTGTAAACAAGATATACACACAATATTAAAATTACTTACATCGGGTTTTCTTAGTCGTGTTCCCAACAAATCGATACGAGTGTTGCTGGAACTTACTTTGCTTTCTTTGGGACCACTTTTGTCGCTCGATTCGACGAGCTCTATGCAAAATATTTCCAACTTATTTAGTTTATTTTGTTGCCTTAATTCGTTAACTTTTTCGCCTCCCCTTAGGGTTTCCTCACTGACCACAATCATATCCATATTTGGGTCACTTTTCGTGGGACCGAAAGGATCGTCTATCGGCACAACCTCATATTGCAAGGTTGGATCGATTTCCGTCAAAAAACTTTGGACTTCTTCAATGCGCTTCTCCACTGGAAGTATTAACTCGTGCAGAGTTTTACCTATCAAAAAGAAACAGAAGTCTCCCAATGAAAAAGAGTTCTACACTAAGTGCTTTCCGGTTTTACCTACTTTTAGTTAATTTCGATGTAGTAACCCCAACTACCAATCTGGTGCTGGCTCGAATTACCGCTTGACTCAGAAAAATTTTGTGTCCCAAGTGAATCCGATCGAACGTACCACCCAAAACAACATTGTTGTACACTCGAATTCTTTCTTCTGGTTCCAATTGTTGAAATTCTTCCAGATCATTTATATCTTCATTGAACAAATAAACGATTGGTTGTTGTACGTTAAGTTGCTGACGTAACTGCTCACATACTTCATGTTGGCCGTCCGAGAATATATAGTCAACAGGCTTTAAGTGAAGCTTGTCAAATGTTCCCCGGTTTTTAAGGGTACCCACCAAAATATTAAAATCCTTTTTAGGAAGGTGTTGATTGCTTTCGATGTACAACTGCGATATTAACCGTCCATATGAGGGCACGGGCACTCTCGTGGGTGGGACATTAAGATGTACGTACAAAGATTTCAGACATTCGTGCTTCTGCAGGGCTTTTAAAGATTGCCCAAAGCGCTTTACGTGAGACACAACCAATAGCCCGGTAGTGGACGTCATCCTTAGGTGGCCAAATAACAAAGTTCAACAGCTGATAGTTTGTCTGTCGTTGCAAAATAATTACAGTAGACTCCGTGTAAAGTTGTTTCACAATATTTTTAAGTTTTAAAATATTCAACCATGGCAAAATTAAAGAAGGTAGAACAAAGCTACCTCTAAATACAAATTTTTTGCAAGTTATGGAACAAATTATTTAAGAATATCCTCCAAGATGTGTGACCAAATTAATATTTATTTTACATCCCTTTCATCGTTTCTATAGGATACAATAATTGCCCTTTCCCAGAACATGCAGGAATGTACTAGTTTTACATTCATGCAGTTTTGGAAATGAGCAAATATATTTGCATTTTTTTGTTTTTTAATTCTTGGATTGACCTTATTAGTTTTTGGAACAACTCCAGTTAAGTAAAAACTTTTCGAATTTTTCGAAATTTTTCGCAGCGGGAGGACGGACACGGGAACCCAGATTTTTGACCCGAAAATCCGGGTTATGCGGATGGAAAGACCCATATCTCTGGACCCGAAAAAGGTATTAGCACAAATTGTAGCATTTTGAAAAGGTAAGAGAGTCAGCTATAATTTGGCATCAATGGGGGTTTTATAAAAAATCCGGGTCCAAAAAATAGATAATTTGACTATACTTCCGAACCGTGACCACTTACCTTAACATGTGGCCATTTGTTGCTTTCCAACGATATGTATATTGTCTATATCGGGTAATTGGATCCAGGTCTAGTCGGGGTCTTGAACCCCGACTTTAGGGTCAAAAACCTGGGGTCCCGGTTCCGTCCCCCAAGAAAAGATAGGAACAGGGTAAAAATACCTACCACTGTAAAAAATTTCGAAAAAATTGAAGAGTTTTTACTAAACTAGAGTTAAGCCCTTATTAAATATACCTTGGACTAATCAATAAGTAGTCCACTTTGGCACACTTTATGCTTTTATTTCCCCAGGTGAACAAACCGCTGTTGCAGCTTGTTAAATTTTTCATTTTTTTGACATTAGGCGTGTTGCCCTTGCTTCGTTGGCAACTCTTTGTGTTTTATACATTGAATTTATTATTGCTATGTTCCAGTACCTGCAAGAATCTACTAGTTTTGCAATTTTCTTCGATATAATAAAGGGAAATTCCGTTATCGTAGTAAAAACTTTTACATTCTTGCAGTTGCGGTGTTTGTGTAGAGAATACACGAAACGGAAGCATATCGTGCCGCCGCTGATTGGTTTGCTCTTGATAAGCCGCCGCCGCCGAAAAATAGGTAAGCTTCGTGGTCTGCCCCTTTGGCACACGTCATGACAGACGTTTCAACTTTTGATTTTCACATAAAAAATATAAACAATAGGAACTGCGGACAAAAATGGAAAATTTGTATCATCAAACGAATCATTTGTTGAAAGAGATAGAGCAAAGTTTTCAGCGATTGGTTCACACGGCTGGCCAGACTGAAAATTATGATGTGGAAAATGAGATACAAATGAAAATAACTCAGGTCAATAGGTAGGTTTTTATGACCTTTTATTTGAGCCAGGGTTTGCAATCTAATATGGAATTTCGTGACTGAATAATTTCAGTAATTGTGACCGTTTAGATGTTTTGCTTTATAAAGTCCCAGTCTCTCAACGACCCACAGCTAAAATGAAGGTTGATCAATTGAAATACGATGTGCGTCACTTGCAAAGTAGTCTTCAACTTTACCGGGAGAAGAGACAAAGACGGCAACAGGAGATTTCGGAAAGAGAACAGTTATTGAGCCATCGCTTTGCGGCTAATAATACAGAAACATGCTTGGACCTGGACTATGCATTGCAGCATAATCAACAATTAGGCAATGCACATCAGGGCGTGGATGAAATGTTATCGACCGGAAGCAACATTCTCTCCAGTTTAGTTAACCAACGAACCACTCTCAAAGGAGCGCAGAAAAGACTTATGACCATCGGCAGTACCTTAGGTTTGTCCAATCACACTATGAAGCTGATTGAAAGACGTTTTGTTGAAGATAAATACGTTATGATTGGCGGAATGTTTATAACGCTATTAGTTATAGGCTTAGTTATATACTTTGTTGTCTTTTAGTTTTGAGATTGAAATATACCAATGTTGGCTTTTTATTCGTACAATATCAGCGTAGTGCAGAAAAAATTCTCATTGTTTTAAATTGGTTTTGTTTAAAGTATAAATACAACGATGCCGCAATATGAAGAAAGTACCTTAACTCTAAAGCCTAAAATACAAATAATGCGCGCGTCTTTTTCAGTATGATGAACGAAGTCGCGGTCTTCCCCTAAATCATCGATGACGGATCTTTTTATTGACATGTCCACCTTTCTTGGCCGTCACGCTGGAAGAGGACAACTTACTCTTAGTAGAGGTGCCACCACCCGGTGTACCCGGTTCCTTTATCGTTTCACGTTGAGGAGTTGATGCGCGATCACTCTTATCATCTTTTCCTGCACTTTTTATACTTGTCGCTCCATCATGGGCTGTAGTGGTGTTTTGGTTTAACGCTATCTGATTGTCACTGGAGTCTTCATTTGTTACCGAATCAGATTCACTGGCTCGTTCGGCTGTAAAACGTGTATGTGTTTACTACTAAAAAACATGATAATTTCAACATCTCTTACGGTTACAAATGGCCATTGAAGTTATAGATGACTTGGAGAACAATCGTTCAGCTTCTTTGAACTTCCTGTTCCGTTTATCCGCTTTGGAATTTGTTGCCTTGTTCGAGGTCAGATAACGTTCCCATCCACGTATTATGTTGCCACAGAGTTGAGTATCTTCCAAATAAGAACCCTCAAATGCATATATTTGCCTCTCCAAATTTGCCAGTTGTTCCTAATTGCATATAAACCGGAACGATTGAAAAATTATATTATTATCCATTTTTCCACAACTTACAGATGTTTCCGCCTTTTTCTTGATCAAGTCCGCCAACTCGGCTCTAGTATCCAAATTTGTTTTTATCGTAGAATTTGTTTTCGTAGATTTTCGCTGCTTCGTTGCAGCGTCATTTTGATTCTTCATTGATGGCGAGCTCATTTTATATATTTAAAGTGTAAACAAGAATTGTTTTGCAGTTTTATTTGTCCAAACAACAACCAAACCATAAATAAATAAAGAACTAGAGATGTGTCCTTCGGTAATAAGCCAGTTCAAGGAAGGTATTCTGTGAGTGGAACTATCGGAGCCAGGTTCAGGTAAATACTGATCCAAATAGCATATTTATATTATGCTATGTACCTCATTGCACTTTCAATCATGTTGTTCACTCTCAGAATTAGGAACACGAATTAACCCGTTCATACGGCACAATTCATAGTAAAATAATTCCTTCAAAAAAAATTTGTTTCAAATCAATTTTGAAATGGAAAATTTTGAATGTAAAATTGTTGAAATTCGTTAAAATTGTTAAACAATGCATATCATAATAGCTTCCGATTGACGTTGTATACGAAAAATTTACTTTTTTTTTCAAAAACAAAAAAAAAACATTAAAAAATTTACATACCAATATTCCCAAGCGTTGATGCATATACCTGTATTTTTCTACCACTGCACATGTCATATGCTCTGTTCCAGAACCTGCAAGAATACATGGTACAATGGAACCAAGTGCTCTGTTCCAGAACCTGCAAAAATCTACTACTTTACATAAAGGGAAAAACGGTTATCATAGTAAAAACTTTCCCATCCTTACAGTTCGGAAACAGACCATTAACTAGAATATTCCTGCAGGTTCTGTAACAAAACAATAGTCAGTAGTTTATAGTCAAATTTATTGTGAGGGATCAATTATCAGGGCTAACCCGGTTGGAGATGTTGTATGTAAAAATACTTATTGAGATAGAAGTAAATCCACCAGATCTCAAGATTTTGATTACGTAATGTCCTTTCCATGGTAGAAGAATACAGGTAGATCCATCAACGTTTGGGAACGTTGATATGTCTACATTTTTTAAATGTTTCTTCAAAACAAAATAGATTTTTGTATGTTTTCTTATACGACGTCATTCTGAGGTTATTATAATAAGCGTTTTCCAACAATTTTTACAAATATAAATAATTTTTCATTCAACATTTTCAATTCCAAAATAGGTTTGACAGTTCATTGTCCCAGCAGCTGTGTCGATGCGCCTACCTATATTCTTCTACCATGGTCCTTTCTTTAAACTTCTATATACTTGCTGATAGATAGTTAGTTAATTACGTAGGGTAAAAATACATATACACGTGGGTTAATTGTTGCCAGATTATCTAGAGATGAGTAATTTTTTATAGGCGAAAAACAAGAAACTGTGGTGGTGCGACTACATAATACATATAACAATGACCTACAGTGTTTACCCCCTTGATAAAATATATACATGTCTCACGGTTTACAAAAACTACGTTGCCTTCTATTGCTACTACACTTTTTTCCACCACTGACTAAATTTACGAAGCAAAATTCAAAAGGAATTAGTAAATTGGTGACAATTGGTGTGAACTACCTCGCTCTTTATTCTCATTAGATCGTGATCGGGAATTGTGGAATTGTTACAAAATGAGATTGCCGCAAGATATATCAAGTGGAAATTATTGAAAAAAAAAAAAAAATAATAATAAGAATAATCGTTTCTAAAAAGTGACCAAAGCCTTGTTATATTGTGAAATATAAGAAATGAAGAATTGATCATTTAAGTTTATACAAATTCCAATTCATTCGTATCGGATCGGATTCGATAGATTAATCGTATCGGATTTCTTGTGAAATTTTCCATACAGTTCGAAGAAGTAAAACGTAAAAAGTTATTTTTTTCTTTTTTGGAAAAATAAGTGAAAGAAAATTTTGATTACGTTATGGAAATTTCAAGTGGCGACATATTCAGTGAGCAGAATGTTGCTTTGTTTCCCAGTTCCAAAGATAATAGCGAGTGTTGTGACGATTCGGCCTACAGCAGTAGTTTGAATCTTTCTTCCTTATCAAACTTTTCTTCGTCATCCTCGCCAATCATTAATCCCGCACTACCACAACAACAAGTGCCTAGCGATGGTAGCAGCAGCGGCGGCGGCAGAAGCGTCTTTATTGACTATGATGGGTCAGCGGAATATATGGAGGAGCAACAGCGACAACTGCAGCAACAACAGGTGCTCCGACAATTAGGTTTTAATATATACGATGATAACTTAATTGATATCAATTATGATCGTAACAACCACTGCACCACAGAAAACACATCCCCTGTTCTGGCAGTGGGAAACATCAGTGAAAATGGGTTCGCAAACAAGCCAATGAGTATGCACTCAAATGACACCAATTTATATATCGATGATGATTTTGTACTAAACTATTTAAATTCTTCGACAGACACGACTTATCACGGTGCATCGGGGTCATCGGTTCCATCATATATGCATCCTGCATCCGCATCATCTTCTAACATTAATAATTCCAATTCATCGTCATTTTTAACCAACATGTCATCAACTGATACGGACTTTAACTACATGGACGTAGGGGGTAGTATTTCCCCCAATACTGAGACGAACCAACCAATATCATCGGTTTACGATAATGGTGATATGCCGCCATTATCCAGTTTCATGGATGCAACCCAGACAAACGTCAACAATGGGATATGCTTGAAATTTGAGTACACATTCGAGAATGAAAAGTTAATACAAGTCCAACCGGCACCATTGATGGTTGGATACAAAATGGCACCGCCATGTCCAAAGGATGAAAATGGCACATCAGCATCAATTTCATATAATTTATCAGCAACCATGCCAATATCACCCTCAAATGTTTCAAATCAAAGGTAGCCAGTCAACATATATATTCTTTGCTTCAATGTTCTTTACATACGGCAGCTTAATTTAATTATTTTTTTGTTTCTCTTTGATTGCCTTGAAGGGGGTTTCCTATTTTTGCTTCTGATTTATTTGAACTATTGTGCATGGTTTATTTGTATCCGATTTTTCTTTTTTGTAAGTGAAAATCCGCATTTAATCAAGTAAGCTTATTATATATTTCTCATGTATCTAGTTTCACGAATTTACTTTCAACATGTCCATATTAGCATGCGTATAACCATGGCTGCTCAAAAGCGTGAGCAAGCAAACCAGCCCGGAAAGGAGATAATTTAAGAGAAAACAAAACATATATTCTGTCCAATTAACGATTAATTTCAACAGTTTTTAAACATGAATGAAGTTCAATATTATTTTTTAAACAAATTAAGAAAAAAAACATGGTTTAAGAAAAAACAAGAGAAATTGGCCTGGTGAGCGAGCTCTGTTCTCGAGCAGATCTTATACTATAACACATCATCAATAGAAAAAATGTGTGATGTACAAATTCTTTGTAAGATATTCATTCAAAATGTTATACGTTTCTTTTTGCCCATGAAAACCTAAGAAATAAGCTCAGCTGGTATTTTGGTGCGTCGTGAATGGGATTAGACAAGCTTACTTGCACCAATTATTCTCGAAAGTTTGCAAAAGAGAGCGGTTGAAGAGACAAATTTTGACAGTTCTTTCAGTGAGAATTTGCAAATTCTTGCTGAACAAATTTCATCTTGCAATCACTTGCAACTCTTCTTCTTCTCATTCATTGACATTCAATCAGATGTTTTCTATTGTTTGCTTATTTCTTTTTGTCCTTTCAATTTGAAAATATATTTTTTTTTTTGAATTAACAAGACTAATTTTTTTTTTTTTTTTGACAAATCAGCTGATTACAATCTTCTGCAGGAATACCGTCTGTTCACTTTTCCCATTTTCTTTGTAAAAGGGTATAAAACTACCTTACTCTCTCAGAAAGACGCCGCTGCACAATTCCTGCAGGCAAAGTAACCAGACACACCTAATGTCAAATGAATAATTTTGAAAAATTTTACTCTTTACTTTACTCTTTAACTCGCCATAAACACGAGGGTCAGAATCTTATATCGTTATATCTTACCTAAATTGGTAAATCGGCACATGTCTTGAAGATTACTCTTTAAATGTGTATTGACTTTATGGTAAATATTATTTCAATAAAAACAAAGGCTTTTGTATAAAAATTGCAGTAGTAATTCATGCACACACCATGTCGAAACATGCCCTCAATAATTTTTTATTTAATTTTACTAGTAAATTAAATAGACTCAAACATAATTTCTTTATCCATTTATGCAGATTTAGGTACTCAGGTACTCATACTCAGCTAAATAAATTCTGTGGATTTTTTTTGCGCCACTGTGTATACGTATGTATACACAAATGGTCAAATAAAATTTGAAAATTTTGATAATAGAACCATTCCGTTCAGAAGGACCCACGCAACATACATAAATTATTTATTCATAAAACAAAAAAAGTAGAAAAAGTACCACACATTTAAGAATTTGCCGAGAAAGAAATTATGATTTGAAAAGTCACAAGTCTAAAAATAGAAAACCAAATAAAAATAAAAGATTTGTTTTGTTTAAAAGAGAAAAAATCACACACACAACCACACACACTCTCCATCACAAATATATACAATGTCTATCTACTAGAACAAAAACAGAGCAAACTACTGAGATGTTTCCCATTGCTATTCGCTATTCGTAGCAGGTGGCACTTGCTCATTTAGATCAGGATTATTGACATTTTTGGTTTATTGGAAATTTGCATGTCCTCGTTTCTTATTGATCATAGTCTATACGCATATATGTGCAGCCAGCCAACCACTGAAATATAATAATAATAATAATAATAATATTCAATACTACGTAGATAGGTACATATTTCTAAAGTGTTTGAGGGGGCGTTAACAGCCGTCGATTTTTGTATTTTTAATTTGAAATTTGTGCAACATGTGCCCACAATTTTTCTCAAAAAAACCAAATCGTTGCATTTTATTTTTGTATTATTTGCCAAGAATTTTATGCATTTCTATTTAATTTGTCTTAAATTAATAAAATATTTTTACTTGACAACGGGGATAACTATTGATGTTCAGGGCCCAGGAGACACATCTCTCAGATAAATTAAATATGTATGTTTATAACATGTAATTCAAATACCAAATATAATTTAATGTGGCATAGGTAGCCGGCCAACTGTTGATGATAAAAATCTTTTTTTTTTTTAAATTATGCAGCGTTCCAAAGTTGTTTTTTATTATAAATCTTTTAGTATTATCTTATCTCTTGACAACCACACAATCAGTTTTAGAATGTTTAAGGTGTCGATTTTATTTTTTATAATTATAGAATCGAACTATATTATTCCACACGCGCCTGGCTATTACTATATTGATTATATTTTCAATTTTTTCCACATTTTCCATTTTCAATATTGACCTTTAGGTCATTATCATAATTAAAGTCAATCTATACAAGAGGACTTTTTTAGATTTCTGTAGGCTGATGCATACAGTCAATGTTAAAAATATCAAAAATTACTACATTACATCATTAAAGACGAATACCACAAATGTTACTTCTCTGTGCTTGCCTATTAATGCACACCTGATGAAAAAGAAATTAATAGTAGCCAACAATAATTATTTTGTGTTATCAAAAAAGGAGGTCGGTCTACTTCGGTCAATGTGTTTTCAAAGTATTCCTGTCCTTTTGTTAGGGCAATATTATGTAGAAACCAAAAGCAAAATGATTGATCTTTCTATTTATATATTAATGTGAATATTTTCTATGTCAACGACCAAGGTCGCATAAAGATGTTAAGGGCATTCCGCGTATGCGTCTTCTTTTATAGCAATATCAAAATGTTCATTCACTCCAAAGTGTGGGTGGAATTTTTAAGAGGCTGGCTATTTTTTCTGTTCGTTTTTTTTTTTTTTTGATGTGTAGACAACAAATAACCACTATTTTTTAATACATACAAATAACTAGCAGAAGGTATAATTTTATTTTCATGTATATAAGAGAGAATTAAAATTTCGATTGCGTTTTTTGCTAGCATTCTTGACGCTCGCATTTATACTCAACTAATAGCAACACCTTTTAACATTTAATACTAAGTATTTTACAACAAACCAATTCAAGCAAGGCCAGGTGCTACATAGATACTTTCTATATACATTTGTTTGCAGCATAATTGCAATTTGTTGTTGTAAAGCCAACATGTGTTTATGTGCGCCTATACATACGCTGGCTGGCTTCTCTCTATACTCCACATCAATACAAAATTAAATCCAAACATTAATGAAAATAATAAATTTATAGTTGTTACATGGAAGTAAATAATGAGCCTGATGAACTTTCATTATGCATACGACCCGGTGCGTTACACAAACAAAAAGGGGAATCAACTTACGCAACTGTTTCCTTCGAGGTACTCTAATTTATTATTCCGCTCGGCTAAAATATATACTCAGCTGCCATTAAAATATATAGTTGTGTTTAATAAAACACTAAAACAATCAAAACTACTGGACAATGAATTATTTTGGACATCTAATGATCCCTTCAATACATAGATACATATATATAAGTACTTTAAACTTAGGTATGGAAGATCTAAACGAACCGTTATCAATTATGCCGGAACACTTGTATACTTATCTTGTAATGTATTCAAAACTGGTTGTATTAAGTGATGAATTTAGTTTTGTCATTAAATGAATTGTGGATGAGTTTGAAACACTGCCACCTTAGATTGCATTTGAAACCTGTCACACAAGTCTTGGGATTAAACAGTATTGAAAACAACAGTAATGTATTGTAGTTTGCAATACATTATAGATTAACTATTTCCGATGGGAAAGGTAGAGGACGTTAAGGTTAGGAAAACAACCAACACTGGGAAAATATAACCAAAAAAATTAATTCAAGAAAAAATTTTTTTTTTAAATACCCTTGCAAATATAAGACTGACGTACTGACTGATACGAGTAAGGTTTACCGTTGACAGTTTCTTTCTCAAGAGATAACATTGGATGTCATTAGCTAGCAGACTTAAAATTTTGTCCAGTAGTTATAAAATTAAATAACAATCCCATATAACAAACACTATTTGCTTTATAGTGCCAAACAAACAACTCGGATCCACATTTAATGACAGCAACTGCAATATTTAAAAAAAATGAGTGCTATTAACCTAACAACTTAAGAATAATATTTTTCCAAATGCTCCATATTTGACCAAAGGTATTTTATAACAAATCACCGCATAGGTAAAAGCTTCTCGCCATTTAGTTTGCCCTCCAAAATAAAATTACATATGTACTGCATGTATTTAATTTGATTATTCTCTTCTTTTTTATCCGCATGGTCAGTTGTCCAGTTCTTTACTAACAACAATTGTTTTCATTTCATATTTTGTTTTTATTTCCGCTTAAATACAGAGCTCGGATGAATCACTGTCACGGTACAAGTGCAACTATGAAAATTGCAATCGAAGCTATAGTACGATCGGTAATTTGAGAACACATCTAAAAACCCATAAAGGTACGTTGTGCACTATTGTCCTATAGACAGTTGGTGAATTAAATTATTCGTTTTTTAGGCGAATATCGCTTTAAATGCACCGAGGAAGGTTGCGGAAAAGCCTTTTTGACTTCGTACAGTCTAAAAATTCACATCAGAGTTCACACCAAGGTCAAGCCGTACGAATGCAATGTGGAAGGGTGTGAGAAGGCTTTCAATACACGCTACAGGTGAGTCGGATGCATAATTTATATTTCATATGAATAACAAACCACCAAATATTTTCAGACTACATGCACATTTGCGCCTACATAATGGCGAAACCTTTAATTGCAATCAGTGCCATAAATGCTTCACAACACTAAGCGATTTGAAGAAACACATGCGCACTCACACTCAAGAGAGGCCCTATAAGTGTCCCGAAGATACATGTGGAAAAGCATTTACCGCGTCCCATCATCTTAAAACACATATACGCACCCATACTGGAGAGAGACCATATCCTTGCGAAGAAACCACTTGCCAAAAGTCTTTCAGCACGTCGCACAGTCTCAAGTCGCACAAGAAAACACACCAGAAACAAACGCAGAACCGTTGCACTAGAGAACGCAAAACTAAAAATCGGAACAAAAAGAGCAATCCTAGAGATGAATTTGGCGATATCAAGCAAGAGGAGTCTGTCGGCGATGAGACAAATTCCACATACAACAGTAGCGAATTTGAAGGTAGTGAGCTTCAAATGCCGACAAAAGCTATAAAAGCTGAAGCAGTCGAGTGCAATATTGAGGATCTGTATTCCATGCGGATGCCAGAAATTAAGAAATCGGAATATACGGCCTTAGCCCCGAAAATCGAGAGCATGCCCTTACCTGAAATGGGTCAAGCACTACAAGTGGCATATGCCACAGAAGAGGAGATACCCACGCCTTCGTGGTCGCAGGGTGTATTGGTGTCGAATCCTATTCTTCCCATGGCCCCTGTCTCGGTCCAGGGTCTGGCGATACCAACTGAAGTTCCCAGCTATGTAAATTTGCAATCAAATTATGCCAATGCCATTTCGGCCATTAATACAAATGGCACATCGTATGGAAATGATTTAAATGCCAATGGTCTGATGGAAATTGACAATGATCAAGCCATCAATCGACACACCAGTATTAACAACGGAAACCACCATCAAGAACAAATACACACTAATAATGTGCACAATGACCAAACCGCAACAAGCAATTCTGTGGACATAATTCCCATCCAAGAAAATATTGAAGAACTACTAATGGGTTCAACCGATTACAGCAGCGACGCCGACATGGAAACCGAGTCTTTACTGAACGACATCCTTATGACTATTGACAATAATACCAGTTTATTGCAAGAAACACTGCAAAAAGCGGATGAAGTACCGAACGATGGGTCCGCTTTGATAGAAGTCGATCTGCGGAACAATAAACCAACATTGAAGCAAATTACTGCTGATGCAGGTATTTGCAGTTGTGTTAATTGCAAATGTGATAAAACTAAGGATTGCCAAGGTGGCTGTTCATCAGACAAGCCATGTGGCAAGAAGTCAACAGGGGCGGTGACGTCTGATAGCCAGCCATTGGCAAAACCTCTCTCGAAGGGATGTTGTGGGGGCAATAAAAGAACTAATAAAGCGTCAAATAAACGTGAATCAGATTTCAATCAAAACATAGAAGATGTTGCACTGCTTTTGCAAAATCTGGCTTCTATGGATGGTAAAGGAGGTTGTTGCGGTGGTGCCAAGGAGTCGTCGTCAGCTTGTTCTGTCGCGGCAAACGACAAACCCAAAACTCAGTGTTGTTCAAAACCAACCCCTGTAAATACATCATCCTGCTGCTCTTCTAGCAATTCAGCACCACCAGTGCCATCATGTTGCTCAAATCCAGCACCACAGTCGCTGAACACCTCAAGTTCTTGTTGTTCGACAAATGTGCAAACACCATCTGGCGACACAACTCTCAAATCTATCAAGAGCGATAGCTGCACCTGCAAGAATCCTTCCGAAGGTGTAGCCAATGGTTGCTGTGTAGTTATTTGTATTAAAACTTTAAGGGCCTTGCGTAAAATTTTAACTAAGAAGAACCTAAATCTAGTTCTTTGCCCACAAAATCAATCTAATTCAACTAATTAAAAATGAACTGTGATCAGGAAAAAGGTGTGTGCATATCTGAATGAAGAACATAGGGCTACTTTTTTGACGTTTGTTATACATTTTACATGGAAAAATTACTTTTTTGCTAGTTGCCCCAATTTGGTTTCGAAATGCATTTCTAGATGCGTCGCTGGAAGGTTGCTAATTAGGATATGTTTATGTTCTGACGGCTTTTAAAAAGATTAGTTCTATTTCATATAGTTTCGTTATGTTGTTATTGCCATTGTGACTGTCGTATTGTTTTTTATCTATGTATTATAAAAATATTAATTTTATTAGCTATGTGCCAAATATTTTATGTATAATTTAATAATATATACATTGTTTGTAATTAAGGAAATATATCATTGTTATTTAGATAAATATGTGTTCTTTATCCATTTTTGAAGCCGATCGTCAAATTTATTACGTACTTTAAAGTCCAATCTGGAATCAATTGTAATATAGTATTTTTTTTTTTTAATTTTCAATATTATACCTAAGCATATAACAATAATTGTACCAAACTTCACATCAAACGCAACGTTTTATGCAATAAAATGTTTTACAAATAATAACAAGTACGTGTCATTCATTTAGTTGACAATTTATTATTGTGGCTTTTTAACTTGGCATTTTTATGAAGAGAACATTAAAATATCAGCCGAGTCTTTTTTCCGGAATGAAGCTTATAATTACATTACACCCACAGAGTTCACAGATCTTCTTGGTTATGCTTTAGTCCTCTCCAGCTGGTATGGCATCTTCTAGGCGTCTAATAAATTTGACCCGTATTTCCGTCACATTGTCCCCTTTCAGCTGGTCCTGCAAAAAAAAAAAAAAATAAATAAATAAGCACAGACATAAAGAACCAGAGGATGCAGATAACAGTTTCAAATTACCTGCACAAACCAGCATTGCACTTCAAGTTGAACCATTTCCAAAGCTCCCCTTATGCACCCACTTATGATGGAACTGTATCTTAAATTTGTTAAATCTGGTGGTAATTCGACAAATTCGGTCAATGGATTTGTTTCAAACTGAAGAGAGAACTCATCCGATGCCGGTGACCAATTTGTTATTGTGGGCTGAACATTCAAATAAATACGGAATGCATGCTGTATGCGATCAGCAGTCTCCCTCATTTCTAGGCAACGAGTGGCCGATGTACGTGCTAGGAAATCCTCAATTAACCGCATGCCCATGTTGTAGCCAATTCGTTCGAGTTGCTTGTTCACATCTTCTACATTTTCAATATCCCTCAGCATTTGGGTGACCAATGCGCCATAAGTGAGAGTTAAAAACTCCGAATTCTATGAACGAAGAGGATGAGTAGTAGTGACTATTGAGAGAACACCCTGTTTTTGTTAATTTGTGCCATTTTACAATCCTTACAAATATAAACTTATGGCTAGTAGGTAGGTAGTATTAAAAATTATTTACATATGTATAATACATCTTCTTCTCGTGATCTAATGTATACAATGAGGCTGGCGATTGAGTGTTGGGTGCTGGCGCTTCTGAAAGCGCAGACCTATGTTACTTTATGGGTGTAATCGTTATATTCGGGGCAGAGGAAGTGCTGTTGGTATTTCCTTGATATGGAGCGATTACCCTTGGTGGCAGCCTAGGTTGTGACGCTCTTGAGGGTATAGTTTGATGTTGATGCTCTTCCATGCCCGCGCCCTGTTGCATATCGGCTTTTTCTTGCGCCGAATGGAAGCGGCCACCCTCACCCCTTACACGATTCATTGCGTGACGGTGTCGAGACTCATGCAAATATTTGGAACGCTCCTTGGGTATACGCGATTCTAACTTAGCTCTTGCTTGCCTTCGAATTAAAATTCGCTTGTACTGCTTTGCGTTGACATAAAGAGGTTCTTCCTCCGCCTCAGCAGTTGCAGCCGGCTGAGAGTCATCAGAAGTACATGCCGTCGTGTTCGAGTCAGTCTGCGCCGGAGCGGTCGGATTAGTACCTCCATTGCTTTGTTGTGAGGGTGTGGGTGTCGCTACTCTAGTCGCTGGAGCTGTTGCTGATTGCGGCATCATTATAATTTGTTGAGTACTGCCACTTCCAGTAGTTGGTGCTTGTTGTTGGGTATTTGATACTGCAGTTGCAATCTGCATCAACTGTCCGTTGATGTTAATAAACATAGGTTGAATGTTTTGAGGCACTGCACTTGGGGTGGCATCTCCTTGGACAACTGGAGGCTGATAGAACAAGGTTTGTCCATCGGGCAATTGCATCAACTGCATTGGCTGTGTTGTGCTACTAGTCGTTGAAGTTGCAGCAGCTGTTTGTTGGGAACTTGGAAGAGCTGTAGCAATCTGCATTAACTGACCGTTTATATTAATGAACTGTGGCTGCACATTTTGCTGTGGTTGTTGTCCTATTATGATTTGGGCGGCTCCAGTACCAGTAGCAGCCATCATTGGAATAAGCTGTATTTGATTTGTATTTGTCGACATTTGCTGCAAAGTGGCTCCCGTAGTTGCTCCTTGTTGTGTCTGTTGACTTGCAGGTGACGGGGCGGAAATTTCCATATCTATACTTGTGGAACGAACTTCTCGAATTTGTATTGAATCACCCAGAGACGCTACTGTAAAATCGTGATATCGGTTTTAGTGAGGGTGGCCACTCTTAGTCTATGAAAACATCCTTATTTGGACTACACATATTAAGGTACTTGGCTTGAACTAAATACTTCTGTGAAATCCTCATTTCGAGGAGTGTGTTATATGTAATTTACAAGGGTTGAAGTTTGGATTTCACAATGATTTCCTGAATTTCTTACTTACCACTTTTTTTGGATCCAATCTAGAAGCTTGTCTGGACATGTTCAAAACTGTTCTTCAGCAGTTTAGAAAATAAATAAAATGATCCAAGTGCAGAAAAAAACAATTATGCTTAGTATTTCGGATGATACTCTTCACCCTCGATTGGTTATTTTTATGCGATGCGAATACTGAATACCTGAATAAAGAGAACAAGAGACTATTACACAAACACATTGTCAAATATTCACACATTACACGTATACACCAATACAACGAATAGAACGAAGAGGCAAAATGCCGCAACAGCTGTTTGCTCGAGAGGAAAATAAGGAAAGATTGTCGAATATCGTTTTTGTCCCATCTCTATGCCAATTTGGAAAATCTGTGTATTTATTTTTTGGAAAAATTGAGAGAAAAGTGCAAATAAGCAAAACAATGTATTGCGTATTTTAATATTAAATTTAAAGTAACAAGACTCTAGCTACAGAGTTGTGCTTTTTAAATTTAATACCTTGTCCTACTTTTGGTCTGTTCCAAAAACTGCAAGAATCTACTAGTTTTGTAATTTTTTTTCGATACCATAAAGCGAAAATCGGTTATCGTAGTAAAAAGTTTTACATTCTTGCAGTTCTGGAATAGAACATTTGTGTTACGTTTAGGTTGCCAACTCATTACAATGAAGGGAATATAAATTTCAACGACTGCAAAACTGCAAGATTTTAGAACAATTTTTTTACGATAGTCAACTTTTCCCTTTATATCGAAAAAAATCTGAAAACTAGTTTTTGCTTCCAGGTTTTGTAACATAGCAATAGAAGCTGTTTATTAGCTAGGGGCCGTTAAATATGACAGTCTGACAGGCAAAGCAAAATACCCTTCAACGCGACCATTGTGCTTTAATGAGGTGTTCCAGTATTACAAAACCAGATGAATGAACTTATTAAATTTTTATTGATCAATTGTAAAAGAAGGTGTATACTTATTTATTAAGCAATGCGACAAAAATTTAGGATGCGAATTTTTAGGAAAGTGCCAACACAGGATCTTGTATATATTTCCGTATAAATTTGTGAAGTACTTAAAAATAATCATAGTTGACATTTTTCTGTCATGTAAAATTATTGAATGTTTTCCGTGCTAAATGTTTTTCACAATGTTGCTTAATTTTTTCCGCATGCAATTATTGCCTGTGTGTAAATGATGCACTAGTTTGTAAAGTAGATCAGTTCTGAACTTCCATCTTTGGCTTATATTTCTTATTCCTGCTTTTACTTCTTCTTCTTGTCCGCGTTAGTAATCATTATAAACAAATTCGAGAATTAGTATTGTAAATTCTATATAAAAATAAAATAGATAGCAGAACAGTGCTACAATATCAGCCGTATTTTATATTTGTAAAATTGGTTTTTATTTTGGTAAGTACAAATACACACAATTTACAAATTAGCAACTTCCGTTTTCCGTGGACGGATATGGATGTGGTGGTGGCTTTTCTTTCGGCAAACGGATGACGTCCGTCGAGTGGTATCATGCGCAATAGGAAAACGATAATGTCCGTATGGAGTTATTGCTGTAAAACAATTTGTTTGTTAAAAATTTGTCTCTGTTGTAAGCCAACATGTTAAATTTTTACTCACCAATCGCAATTTCCGCTATTTTTTTACCAACGCCAAGACTGTTGGCAGAGTACAGAGTTGCTGGCAAAGATTTCTCTGTGTTGCCGTATGTTACCAATCAGTATTATTTACAACTTTATTGGCGGCGACATCGATTAGCCTACCCTGATATATCGTCGCGCAAGAGATTTACTAAAAATAAATGTATAAAAACTCATTTCAACAACTTCTCCAAACAAATTCATTAGATTTTTTATAAAATCATAAATAATGTTGTCGATATGGCAACACCAAATACATTTGTTGCATTTACGAATAAGAAAATAAAAGAAAGAAGAGGAAAACAAAACAGAAACAGTAATATAATTCATTTGGTCGATATAAATTCCTTTTGATTTGTTTTGTTTCAAATCTAACATAATTTTGAGTTAAATGCTATAATATTCTATTGAAAGGTGTTCATGATTCGGTCACATCTAATAGGAGCGTAACACAAGAAGCATGGTTGGCGCTGGACCTGGTGGTGGCGACAATAATAAAATTGTTGCCACTTTGCGTTCTGACTGTAAGGTGGTGTATCCAACGAACCAAGCTGCTTCCACCACACTGGAGCACCAACTGGCCAGTTTAATGAATTACAAAATTGTAAGTAAAAGTTTTGAAATGAAATTCATTGATTTCAATAAAAGCGACCCTGTAATGTAATTCTAGCGCACGGAAGGAGAAATTGCGAATAAATCTCTAAACACCCTGAGTGTACCAACCACAGTTGTAGACTTGGGGAAACAATTGTTGCAGTACGCTAGGGATTCCGATGTTAAAGGTGTCAAAAATGCCTTATCCCGCGGTGCACCGTTTACTTCGGATTGGGTAAGTATACATAGTACAATGGTAGCAACAGGTTTTGAAGTGGCTTTCCCCCTCCTGCGATGTATGTATACTTAACGAAATTGTTGTCCTCTTGTAGTTGGGAATGTCCGCATTGCATTTTGCTGCCATGAACAATCAGTATGAAATTTGTCAAGTTTTACTCAGTGGCGGCATTAATAAGGACTCCAAAACTAAGGTGGACCGAACTCCTCTTCATTTGGCCTCTTATTATGGCAACGAACAGATAGTGGAACTACTTCTTTCTAAAAATTGTGCGGTAAACCCAAAAGATATGGTAAGCGTGCTGTCACACATTAGAGAGAAGTCAATGGATGTAAGTGATTTTATTTTTAGTTGCGTATGACACCATTGCATTGGGCCGTTGAAAAGCGGCATAAATCCATTGTCCGTTTACTCTTGAAACATAATGCAGATGTTACAGTGGTCACCAAGTTTGGTCGAACACCCCTAGCTATAGCCGTTTTAACGGAGCAAGCTGATCTTCTGGAGGAACTGGAGAGTGCTCGTCAAGCACAAGCTAACAGAACATTTAATGAACAGCATGAGGTAAGTTGTTTTAGAAACCATTAAAAAATATATAATTATTCTTGTTAAGATTATAAAACACACTATTGGAGCTCTTTAAAAACGATGTAAAACATCTATATGATTATTGCAGAGAATAAGGTTTAACATTATTCAGAGCAATTTCGAAATTTGTTTATCATAACGGAGCAATCGAACAAATCAAAAAATGGAGACATTTCTTTCTGAAAAAATTGTAGACCTTTTGATATTTATATAGTTTTCTTTTTGTTTTGATTCCATATACTAGGCTACAATATTTCAGCAATGACCGAATTTAATTTATACAAATGTGTTCATGAGTTAGGCTAGGCATTCTTTTCAAAAAATACTTGTAAGGCAATAAACTTTTAAATAATAGCTTCACCAATCTATTATCGTGGTTTGAGAAGCTAATGGACTTGCCAAAATGTTATAGCAATTTGAACTGTAATTTAACGTCAGGTTTCACAATATCGAAAAAAAAAATAAATCCAACAATATTGGACTAGAGTAATATTGAAGAAAAAGCGATAGAAGCTTTACGTTAGCATTCAATAGGCATTGTAAAACAGACAGCAAAGACTTTATTTTAAGACTTTGTTTAAGAAATTTTTTATTCCATAGTTATTCAAGCTTACAAGTTTATGTCTCTTTCGTTGTTATTTTATTACCTTAAAAAACCACATTTTATGAAAGTTGCAGCAAACTTGAGTGAAGGCACATTTAAGAATATTATAGAATTCTAAATATGAATTCATAAAAAGTTTACATTCCACATATGGAAAGAGTATATGTTACACAACTGCCTATATTTGAGTGTACCGTAACCGTGATGCTAGTATCTAAATAATTTCAATATGTCGTACAATTTATTATAAAAGAGAACATTTTCTATTAAATAATTTATGTTACAATTTAATTTATAAACAAGTGCATGTTGCAATATAATGTTGTTAACCATATTTTTTAATGTGTTTCAAATAATGCTTTATTTCCGCAACAAATATTACTGGAAAATAAAAAATAACGACAAATCACCATAGAAAGCAGTCCTAAAAAATAGAGTAGGTACTTTTTAATTTTTCCCATACTTTTCTGTTTTTGAACCACACAATTTGGCAGATTTTACTTTCGAAATTCATTTTAAATTCCCAGTATATTAGTTTAAAACTGTTTTTGTGACTTAGCTAATTACGTGCCTATTTTACAGAAGGAGACTTCAGAGGCCGTTAATTCAATAATGGGTCTTACCGAAGCTAATGAAGAGAGCGAAGGAAATGCCAATGCCAGAGTTCAAGATGGTGAGGAATATATGGCTCAGAATGAATACGCAGCTGCCAAAATTGCAGAGTTGGAGAACATAAAGGGTAATCGATTGTTGTTTTCCTCTGTAATCATTATTGTATGTTTGCTTCCCTAAATAGAAACAGGTATCATAGGAGACTCCACAATTAATCTTTTAAAATCGCATGGTATTTCCATGATGCCGGATGATGATACATCAAAGGATATGTTAAATACGGCGCTGCAAAATGGAAGACAATTGATATTGTCAGAGGGTGGAAAACTGTTGCTAAATGAAACTAAAAAAATACAAAACAACAACAATACTAACCTAAACAATAACAATAATTTTAATATAAATGGTTCTAATAAAACTATTGTTCCAGCGAGGGCGCGTAACGATAGTGCAACCTATGTAAGTTCCTCAAGCAATTCAAACGTTAGTAGGCTTAAACCCAATGTCATTACAAAAGCAAAGGACAATCAGCATGTAACTAAAAATAAGGTGAGTTCTTTCCCACAACTCGATTCCATGTGGAATAACATTCGCTTTTTTTACTCGCAGAATATACGCATAATATCTATAAACGATTTTAAGAAATTGTATGGCAATACGAATCTGAAGGCTATGCAAAAATTACCACAATCGGTTACGAGGTAAGCTGTGGAAAAAAGACGATCAGTGTCCGAAATTAAAGGTTTTCTATCTTTTCATTATTGTAGCCAACAACGTGTGGTAAATGTAAGGCAACCAATGCAGATGAAGCAGCAGCAGGTTCGTTACTTTGTTTAGACATCATTGAGTAGACGTAGATTAAGATTCATGTCGTTTTCATTGAATAATGAAGTAGCCCAAGAGAGCCACATATAAAACGAAGGCTTGCATGAATAAACATTATTTTTATTTTACAACTTTTATTTGTTTAATTACTTAGAAACTCTATTAATTTATTGTTTTTTATTGAATCTCTTGAGAACATTTCCTGAGTCATACTATACTTCAATAAGTAATATTTTTCGTTTCAGGTGAAGTTGGACATGAAAAGTGTTGACACAGGTAGTAGCAGACAACAGGTGGCTCCTCAAGAGAATATTGGCGTACTGGAAGAAGATATATTGCCGCACATTATACAGGTGTCCAACAAAGATGAGAACGACATCATAGAACTTGAAGCGCAAAAATCGCATACGCTTGCAAAAACTGTACCCTCACACCAGCAAACTACCATTGCCAAACAAGCTGTTCGTCTTGTGCCGGCCAAACGTGTTGAACACATGAATACTGTGCCAGTTCGTCAAATGAATACGGCAAAAACCATAAAACTTAATCCCTCTAAACCTCTACCAAGCCAAGATTCCAAATCAACGCCAGTAGCGCCTTCAGTCATACCTCTATTAACTGTACCCGAAATTTGTAGACAGCTGTTGGAATTGAGAAAACAGAACGATGAACTGAGGAGAAAATTTGAAATAGCTCAAAAAGAGAAAGAAGAATTGCGTCTACGTCTCGATCGTCTGGAAGAATTACTGCTGGTGGAGAGGACTGAGGAAGAATATAACAATTCATAGTTTTACTTGTATTGTTGTTTTTTGCCTACAACGAAGCAACATTTAAGTTATACTGCCCGTTTGAAAAGAAAATTGAAATTTAATTGGACTACACTCGTTAATTTTAGTTATTTTTAAGTTAAGCTGCATTCTTAAGGGAATACTAGTAACGTTTCTTTTTCTACTCTACTTATGGACTAAGTTAAAAAAAAAAAATTGGTAGAATAACACTTTCATCCGTCATTTTTATGTTAAATATTTCTAAGAAAATTGAATTTCATGTCTTGTTTCATTTTTTTACCAACTCATCATATTTGTTTGTCAGTTTTGGATTCACCTATACAAGTTCGTGTAAATAAATATGAATAACAGTTGTAACAATAATTAATTTTAATGTATAAGATATAATTCAATAATTATATTTACAAATGTATTTTGTAATACAAACTTGCGCCTTTTTATATAACAAAAACAAAATCAAGATTGTTATATTACTATTTACAACATTGCCTTTTATTTAGTTCAACTTTTGTTCTGGATTATCAAAACTGACGATTAATTGTCACAGTATGAGGAAAAAGGGTTTGGTCACAGTATGAGGAAAGGTATGGAAGGAAATTTGTCAAAAAAATTAAACTGAAAATTTCTGTCTCGAATAGCTTTTTTTTTGAGTTATATACCAATTCCGGCAAACATTTTTAGAAATGTTTGCGCTGCCTTCAAAGATACGCAGGCGTAGTCTATGTCACCATTAAGAAAAACACACGAATCGAAAATTTAGAAATAGGCCAAATAAATGCAATTTCCGAATTCAGTCAAATTAGTAGTTTCCAATTCTATTGTTCGTTTTTATTTTCAGCTTGATTAATGTCAAAATTTTGTACGCTCCACGTCCTGAAACAATTCCCAGAAGGTATCGGCATAGACTAATTAATATATAGACGAAGAAATGCTCGTACCGCTTTTGTCGCACAATTTCGGATCCGCAGATGTTGTCTACGTCGGTCCAGTGGAATTTATTTGATGTGTACTCAATGAAAGTGACTCAGTGAAAGTGAAAACAAATGTAACAAGATGTTTATTATCAAATAAATAAAACTACTTCTTGCATTTTGAAAATAAAAACAAAATCGCGGAAATTAAATGAAAGGCCTACGTTTCTTTTCAAAATTATGTTCTATGTTTATTTTATTTTTTATTTCGCTACGAAAAGTGTAATTTTTGTCGATAAATACGTTGTAATACCCATGGTACAATGAAGAGAAGGTAGGCCAAAATCTAGAGTTTTTGTAGCGAAATAATCCTTTAGAGATATATAGTACATGATTTTGAAAAGAAGTGTTGACCTTTCATTCAGTTATCGCGGTTTTCAATTATTTATTCGAAATAAATGCAACAAGTTGTTTGATTTTTTATTGTTTTGATACTAATTCTGACATTACAAGCCAAACAGGTAGACCTCTATACTTGCAATTTTTTCAAAGTTGGCCTACCTTCTCTTCATTGTACCATGGTAATACCCATTTTGATTGCAACAGAATTTGAATATTTTCTCAACAATATTTATATGACCATTTACGAACATCCCAAAAACATTTGTTCTTCCCAAAAGCTGCACTATGAAATTAAATTTTATTGTACCATGGAAAATATTATCTTTTCAATTTCAATGCCAAATTTGTTTCTTGGTTTCTGTGTAAATTCCAACTCAGGGACAGAAGTGTACTTCAGGTGACAGAGGAAACAACATTTACTTCCATTTGGCAGTATGTACGCCGCTCAATATACACTTTTCATTCATGATTCTCATATTTCCATTTTTCATGATTTTTTTAAAAATTATGTATTTTAGTAAAATGAAAGAGTTGTATTATTACTATAAGCTCAGGTTTAATTTTGTAACTAGTAATACTTGTATATGGTCTTATAGGCTTTGTATTACAGAAATGGATGAAATAAAAAAAATTAAAAAAAATAAATATTATCTTTTCAATTTCAATGCCAAATTTGTTTCTTGGTTTCTGTGTAAATTCCAACTCAGGGACAGAAGTGTACTTCAGGTGACAGAGGAAACAACATTTACTTCCATTTGGCAGTATGTACGCCGCTCAATATACACTTTTCATTCATGATTCTCATATTTCCATTTTTCATGATTTTTTTAAAAATTATGTATTTTAGTAAAATGAAAGAGTTGTATTATTACTATAAGCTCAGGTTTAACTTTGTAACTAGTAATACTTGTATATGGTCTTATAGGCTTTGTATTACAGAAATGGATGAAATAAAAAAAATAAAAAAAATAAATATTATCTTTTCAATTTCAATGCCAAATTTGTTTCTTGGTTTCTGTGTAAATTCCAACTCAGGGACAGAAGTGTACTTCAGGTGACAGAGGAAACAACATTTACTTCCATTTGGCAGTATGTACGCTGCTCAATATACACTTTTCATTCATGATTCTCATATTTCCATTTTTCATGATTTTTTTATTTGGTAGAAGATATGTACCTGGCGTATTTTACACACTGGGATAGGCAACAATATTCGACACTCGTCCCTTCTGTTCCTCAGTGAACGAACAGTTTCTACGTTGTGTTGCCTCTTCTTACTTTCTAAACATTCAACGCGTTGCCTCTTCCTTCTATTCGTTGTATTGATGTATGGGTATTATACGTTTGTATGTTTGGGGAAATGTTTTTTAGTAATTTTTCCGGTATTCGGTACTCGCATCGCGTAAAAATAACCGATCCAAAAGTGAAGAGAACCACTCTCTCGTTCATTGAAAAATAAGTTCAATTCACACGTGCAATTCAACAAACAACACAACAAATATTAAAAAATTGAAAATTGAAAAGGAACGAAGAAAATTAACTAGACATGGTAGATATACGGAGAAATATACAATGTCGATTTGTTTTCATCCAAAGCATTATTTTTATTTCAGGTAAAGGTAAATGATCTGCCGGGGTTTCCGTCCATAGATAGTGGGGGAAATGGTGAAGGCAGCGATCTTCTCAAATCTAAGCCATCGGCAAAGGCAAAGAAAAGTGGGGGTTTCCAATCGATGGGTTTAAGCTACGAAGTGATCAAGGGCATAACAAAACGTGGCTACAAAGTTCCTACACCTATTCAACGCAAAACCATACCATTGATTTTGGAGGGCAGAGATGTTGTTGCTATGGCCAAGACAGGGTCTGGCAAAACAGCTTGTTTTCTGATACCGCTGTTTGAACGCTTAAAGAGGAGAGATCCGACAAAGGGAGCAAGAGCTTTGATTCTATCTCCTACTCGAGAATTGGCTGTACAAACATATAAATTTATTAAGGAGTTGGGCAAATTTATGGATCTAAAAACGATTCTGGTTTTGGGTGGTGATTCTATGGATTCCCAGTTTTCAGCCATACACACATGTCCGGATATTATTGTTGCAACGCCGGGTCGATTCCTGCATTTGTGCGTTGAAATGGACTTAAAACTGAGCTCTGTGGGTAGGTTGACTGCACACGACGTGTTATGAATGGCGATTTTTATTGGATGAAACTAAATTTCTTTCCTATTTAGAATACATTGTTTTTGATGAAGCTGATCGCTTGTTCGAAATGGGTTTCGGTGAGCAGTTAAACGAGACTTTGCATCGTTTGCCACAGTCAAGGCAAATGGTCTTGTTCTCTGCAACTTTGCCAAAACTTCTCGTCGATTTTGCTAGAGCTGGTCTCAGTGATCCGGTATTGATACGTTTGGGTATGATTTGTTTTTTTATTTGTGTATTTGAAATGTATTTCAATGTATGTCATCCTAGATGTGGAGTCCAAGTTGCCTGATGCCTTAAGTCTGAAATTTGTCTACTGCCGCTCTGATGATCGCTATACAACCTTGGTCACATTACTGAAGTATGTTATTCCACAAGATGCTCAAACTGTGGTGTTTGCTGGTACGCAACACCATGTTGAGCTTATATCATTTGTAAGTTAGCCCCGTTACTCCAAAATCCACATAAAATCGAATTAATTGCTCTTTCAGATACTTACGGGGTGTGGCATAACCAATACATCGGTATACTCCAGTTTGGACCCATCGGCGCGTAAGATAAACACGGCTAAGTTTGTCAACAAGAAGGTTTCGGTACTGATTGTCACTGATGTTGCTGCTCGTGGTATAGATATTCCCAATTTAGATTATGTCGTCAATTTGCATTTTCCTGGCAAACCAAAACTTTTTGTACATCGTGTTGGACGTTGTGCTCGCGCTGGTCGTACCGGTACGGCTTTCTCCATATTTTCTATGGAAGATTCTGCTCATGTATTGGATTTACACTTGTTCTTAAATCGTGAATTCAATATCAACGATTCGACGGTAATTGGTACAGTTCCCCAAGAGTTGCTTGAAGAAGAACATCTAACTGTGATGGAAATAAAAAAGAACCATAACATTGTAAGTATGTGCCGTTTACTTCACTATTTAAACTCACATTTTATGGTTTCAATTCATAGAGCGGTGTGTTGCGGACAAGTGAAAATGCTTACAAAAAGTATTTATCTTCGAGGCCCGTAGCTTCTACAGACTCTAATGCCCGTGTGAAAAAATTGAAATTTTTCGCTCTAAAACCTCTGAATGATTTCATTGAACAAGCCATACCAAAATTGGCCGATGCTGCAAAATCAGGAAGCAAAAAATCCGTTGAACAACTGGCCGAAGAAGAACGAAGACTACAAGAACAAAAACATGAATTACTTTTGCAAATGAAAAGCTTCAAGCCACATAACGTAAGTAGATCCTCAACATTTTTGTTGTTTTTTTCTAATTATGAATTTGTTTCCAAATAGACAATTTTTGAATTAAATAACAGTCAGAAGTCTGTGCCGTATCAGATTATGAAGGCGAAACGTTCTCAACATTCAGAAGTAATAGAAAAATATCGTTCCAAGATGGAAGAATTGGATAAGGAGGAAGAAACAAAATTGGCAGAGAAAGTTAAACCAAAGAGAGTACGTTAAATTTCGAAATAAAAGAAACGCCAATATTGAACATTTTTAATATATAAAAAGAATATTAATGTTTAATTTTTTTTAATTACAGGATGTAAAACAATCGGATGAGCCCAACGAAGATGAAATAAATTCAGCATTCAAGAAAGTGGTTGCACCCAAGAAACGTAAAAATATGGATGATCTTTACACAGAGAAGCCAAAAAAGAAGAAGGCAAAAACAAATGAAAAAGATTCGGAAAACTTCATCCCATATCAATCTGCTGACAAACACACTGAAGACGGTTTGGCCATAAATAACTTCGAAAGGCAAGCTATGAAGGCTGAATTCTCGGTTATCGATCGCGAAACCAATGAAGTTCGCCATAAGCCTGGCATGAAGAAGTGGGATCGTATAAAGAAGAAAATGGTTGCCGTTCAAGATCCTAGGGCAAATAAAATTCGTACCGAATCAGGAGCATGGATACCATCGTCGTTTAAAACAGGTCGCTATACAGAATGGAAGGAAAAAACCAAAATTGAGGAACAATTGGCCAAAGAAGCCGGCAGTGACGACGATACTTTCAAGCCGTTGTCCCATGAACAGCGCTACCCTGTCAGTAGACATGCCAGACACAATGCCAAAGTTGAAGCGAAGAAAAGAGCTGGAGTCGGCGGCGACAAAGAATTGCGTACTCCAGAGCAAATTGTTAAGGCTCGCATGCGTCTGGAATTCATTAAGAAACGTAATGCAGAGAACACTGAACGTAAAGCGGAGAATCGCAAGAGAAGTATGCGCAAGAGTCAGAGAGCTACAATGGGTTCAAAATCGAAAAATAAAAAGAAATGATTACATAACTAAAAACAATTATGTACATAGATTAATGAGTTTATTTGTGTAGAAATTTACTTGGAAAATTGGTTATATGCATAATGTATATTAATATCGACAGAGATGTCTCATTTTCTTTTAAACTTTTAATTCAATTTCAAACTTGAAATGAGGAAAGATGCCTTGATCGTTAATATGAAAAAAACGCCAATCAATTAGAAAACATTGTTTTATTTACTTTCTCTTGTGTGCAGTTTAGTTTTACATCACGTAAGTACCTTGAGTATACTTGTGGCATCTTTTCCAGTGTTTACCAGTTATGACAGCTTAAAAATGCGCTGTCGCTATACTGCGGCAGTGTTTTGTTTCAAAAACAATAGCTGTTGCTGTGAAATCCTCAAAGCCATCAAAAACAAAAATTAAGAGTATTGCTGTGATCAAATTCACATCCTTTAAAAGTGGTGGTGAAAACGTCACAGCACAGCTGCAGCTAGTAATAAATTGATGTAGCTACATCAATGGAAAATGAAAACCAGTAAGGAAAGCTCAAAAGTCGGGCGGGGCCGACTATATGATACCCTACAGCACTATGCATATTTAGTAGAGCTCTCGTAAAAAGGTTTATACAGGGCATTTTAGAGCTCTATGAGATATTTGGTACAAAATCAAAATCTATCTAATTCTATCGTGCATTTTACGAACTATAGCTATCTCTGAACCGGGTTTCTCCAAATTTGACGTATTAGCTTCTAGACTGAATTCGGTCTTATGTACGAAAATTGAGGTGATTTGGGCTGATATTGACCATTTAGTGCACAATTAACCTGAAATCGTTAGAATAATCGATTCTCACCACTATGTGGCTGTACAGATGTCTGAAACAATTCCTAATATTGGTTGGGAATTGAAGGAACGAAAATTGGAATAATTGGTTTCCCCTCAGTTATGAAGGTACTCAGCTCCACCGCCACGCCAAGGTTTATTCCCCGGAAGAGTAAAACAGTCGAATTGTATAATGCTACTATGGAAAGTAGCGTATTATTCAACCATTTCGGTATTTATTTCAATTTAAAAAACATATATATGGGAGCTATAGCTATATCTGAACCGATTTTTACTAAAATTGGTGTACTTGCTTCTAAGCTGGTTTCGGTCGGATTTGCCAAAATTGATGCTATTACGCCCATTTGGTGGTCAATTAACCCGAAATCGGATGAAGATATATATCGGAGCTATATCCAAATCTAAACCGATTTCGATAAAATTTAAAACAGCTATTCCTGTACTCCATCTAATACCTGGTACCAAATATCACGGTTGTGGAGTGAATATTACGAATGTAAGGGACTAAAACACTAAATCGGATGAAAAATATATATATTGTTGCTATATCTATATCTGAACCGATTTTCACTAAATTTGATATACTTGCTTCTAGGCTGAATTTGGTCCGATGTACTAAAATTCAGTCCATTTGGACTTATATCGGCCATTTGGTGCACAATTAACCCGAAACCGGATGAAGATATATATGGGAGCTATATCCAAATCTGAACCGATTTCGATAAAATTACAAAGAGCTATTTCTGGGCTGTATCTTATATCTGGTACCAAATATCATTCTTGTGGAGTGCATATTACGAATGTGAGAGGCTTAAACACCAAATCGGATAAAACCTATATATGGGAGCTATAGCTGTTTCTCCAAATTTGTTGTATTTGCTTTAAGGCTAATTTCGGTCACATGTGCCAAAATTCGGGCCATTTGGGCTGATATTGGCCATTTGGTGGTCAATTAACCCGAAATCGGATGAAGATATATATGGGAGCTATATCTAAATCTGAACCGATTTCGATAAAATTTAAAACAGCTATTTCTGTGCTCCATCTAATACCTGGTACCAAATATCACGGTTGTGGAGTGTATAGTAGGAATGTGAGGGACTTAAAGATCAAATCGGATGAAAGATATATATGGGAGCTATAGCTATATCTGAACCGAATTTAATATACTTGCTTCTAGGCCGAACCCGGTTGGGTGTGCCAAAAATCAGGTAATTTGGACTGATAGTGGACATTTGGTGCACATTTAACCCGAAATCGGATTAAGATATATATGGGAGCTATATCTAAATTTGATCCGATTCTCACCAATTTCAATAGGGTTCGTCTTTGAGCCAAAAAAAAATATTGTTTGGAAAATTTCATCTCAATCGGATAATAAATGAGACCTGCATTTTGTTCACAAGAATACATGGACAGACGGACGGACGGACAGACGCACTGACATGCATAAATCGACTCAGAAAGTGATTCTATGAAGGTTCTCAAAAGTAACTATGGGTCTATCTCGTTTCCTTCCTTACCACTATGTGGTGTAGGGTATAAACCATGGCAGAAGAATACAGGTAGATGCATCAACGCTTGGGAGCATTGATATGTCAAAAAAAATTAAATGTTTTTTCAAATATAAGTAGATTTTTATATGTTTTCTTATACTACGTCATTCGGAGGCTATTATAATTCGCGTTTTCAACAATTTTTACAAATTTAAATAATTTTTCATTTAACATTTTCAATTCCAAAATTGGTTTGACAGTTCATTGTCCCAGCAGCTGTGTCGACGCGTCTACCTATATTCTTTTACCATGGTATAAACATTGCAGCGAATTATAATTGAAAAAAAGAAGACAATTTATTTTAAAAGCCAACTTAAAATTAATTTTACAAATCTCTGATATTTCTGTTCCGGCGAGTATGATTTTACAGCGATAGCATAAAATAGACAAAAATTGAAACTTTTTCAAATATAGATGCAACAGAAGTGCGTAATTACTACGTTAGTGGCAACTTTGGGATAAAACAATATTGTTCCTCTATCTTGGAATCAATTTTGTTGAAACCCCTAATAATAATGACACAAAATATTTAGTTGCGATCTATTATTAACTAGTTATTATTTGATTTGATAGCTTACTATGGTGGAGTGTATACACCATACTATGGAGTGTATATTAACTTTGTCATTCAGTTTGTAACTCCTCGAAATACTCATGTCAGACCCAAGAAAGTATATATTCTTGATCAGCGATTTAGCGTTGTCCGTCTGTCCGTCTATCTTTCGAACAAATTGAGATAGAATGCTAAAATCTTGCACATATGTGTGTTTTGCCAGTAGGCAGGTAACGTTCGTAAACGGGTCACGTCGCTCCACGTTATAATGGGGGCTATGCTATAAGGTGGAGCGACACGACCCGTTTACGAACGTTACCTGTCTACTGGCAAAATACACATTTGTGAAAAATTTTAGCATTCTATCTCAATTCGTTCGAAAGATATAGTACCTCTCAATATTCGGTATGTTGATGATTTTGGCTACGTTATAGACCGTAATTGTTTCAAATTTCGTATTGAAAGATCTTAATGGGTACTACAACCTAAGACAAAAAATTACTAATGCAGGTCCACGTCTTTGCATAGCCGCTATATAATGGTATCTCCCAATATTCGATTTTTTGGTATTAGAGATATTATAAGAGACGGGAATTGTTTCATATTCCGTATTAAAAGTTCTTAATGGGTACTAGAAACTATGACAAAAAATTGGGTATGCAGGCCTACACCTTCGTATAGGCGTAGAAAATTGTCTATGCAGATTCACGTCTTTTATGCCCCACACATAATAGTACCTCCCTTTTTTGGCATTTTGCTGATATTAGAGACATTTGTTTAAAGGAATTGTTTTAAATTTCGTATTTGAAGGTCCTATTGGACACTACAGTCTACGACAAAAAATTGTTTACATATTATTGTTTATGTCCTCGTCTTTGTACAGCCCCCCATATAACGGTTTTCAGGTAAACGGTATTTTTCGACGATTTTTTTGTTCAATTTTTCAAGTTCATTCCTGCTGGATGATAATAAAAGTTCGCCCCGACCAAACTTATGTGCTTTTTTACTTGTCTTATCTAATTTCGAAACACATCTAAATACAATGTATATTGACTACTCTCAACTTATATCTAAAAATAAATATATTTTAAATCAAATGAAGAATTAAAACAAATTAATTGCAATCGAAAATGAGCTTCATAGCCAGTCAAGACATTCTCAATTCGAGCACACTCTGTGCGAGCCCTCCGTTGCCTTTATATCCAAAGTTAGTAGTTTTTGTTGAAAATATTTTTCTATTAATATCGACAGAAAGTTTTAATATCAGAAGAAAGTCAAAGGTCACCGTCATACAAGGTATAGAGGTGCATCTTAAGTACGCGTGTTGGGTGGGACAAGTGTTGGTGCTAATGATGTGCAGTGTCGCAGATAAAACTTTTAATGAAAAGCTAATATGAAACAGGCGATGATAATGCTGCTACAAGCATCCGGTATCAACAATGAAGCACAATAACATGTGCCTTGTGACGACGGACCTTCCTCAGAGAAAACATCACTCTGGTGCAGGCATGGCATACCATTCGTACACTTTCAAACAATGACATACACATAAACAAACAGTGGAAGAACAAGAAACAGAATGGAAGATTTTGTTGATGCATGCGTTCATCGGGGGTTGTAAATTGTTATTGTCAGTCTCCACATTGTTATTTGTTACGGACGGAGTCATGGAGTTCCAAGGTCTGCGAAATAATGCAATTATCAACATTCTCACCCGAATTACCACCTCTCAGCCCCAGGCTGCCATCGGTATTTTTTGTAAAATTTGTAAACAATTCAATGGAAGAGTTTTTGCTTTTAATGTTCCTCGCTTCTGATACTTTGTATCCATTTCCGATATTGTTGTCTTTAATTAAAGAATGCCATGTGCCTGGCACTTTTTACACGCTGCACCTTGGACGGTATATTAACTTTGTCATTCCGTTTGTAACATCCCTAAATATTCATCGTAGACTCCATAAAGTATATAATCAGTGTACATAATCAGCATAAAATTCTAAGTCGCAGCTCAAATTATATGACGTAGAGCGTCAAAATTTAGCAAAACAATTTGTATTGTGTCTAGGATTGTTGTTATTGAAAATGAGATATATCGGTAGCTCCCCATATTCGGTATTTTGATGATTTTTGCCACATTTTTTCATGGATTTGGCTGAAAATTGCTATTTGTAGGTCATAATGGGTCCTAGTTAGTGTGGCGAAACATTGTATGCATAGGTTCACGTTTTGGAATAGCTCCCATATAACGGCACCTCCATATAATCGGTATTT